GAGCTGCCTCCTGCAAAGGGAGAAAGCCGCGTCCCCGGGCAGCAGGAGGGGATTTTGGGGAACTGGGTGAGCGGGGGGATCGGCATCGCTCTGCCACCCCAGTGTCTTGCTGGATCAGGGGGATGTGCGTGGGGTGGGTTGCACACCCAGGTCTCAGCACTCCTTTTTAGGGGGTCAGAAGCTCCATTTGGAGCTTTCCAGAGCAAGGAAGGAATAACAACATCCCCGGTATGTAACGTGAGGGTTGAGGGGGGCTCAGCCTCGCGGAACATGGACAATCCCCAGCCCTGGTGCCCCGCTTCACCCTGAGCATTTAAGCACAGTCAAGCTGCGGGTAGCTCCATGCGTGGACATCCAGCATCACGTGGCCCCTCGCCGTTCCCCCGCAGCCTCCCCGTCCTCCATCACCACCTACGAGACCTGCCAGACCTACGAGAGGCCCATCGCCTTCACCGCCCGCTCTCGGAAACTGTGGATCAACTTCAAAACCAGCGAAGCCAACAGCGCCCGGGGCTTCCAGATCCCCTATGTCACCTACGACGGTGAGCACAGGGGGCAGGGGGACGCCATCCCGGTGTGCCAGTGGCCCCCTGCTCCGTTTGGTATCTGGGTTACCCCCCAGTTCACACCTCCCGTGTGTTTGGGGGGGAGCAGACTCAGGGATGGGGAGCAGAGGTTTGGGGACGAGTGACAGCTCAGGTCCTGACGGTGTTTCTCGGTTGGGTGTTGCAGAGGACTATGAGCAGCTGGTGGAGGACATCGTGCGGGACGGGCGGCTCTACGCCTCCGAAAACCACCAGGAGATCCTCAAGGTGAGCCCGTCCCCACTGGATCCTCGGTGCCCCGGGCTCGGGGGGGTGCTGGCGTGCAGGAGCACCCTTCCCTTCAGGGGTAACCCCACGCCCTCCCTGCGCCCACGGCTTCAGCTTTGGAGCAGGGCAAGGGGAGCACGGGGTGGGATGGTGACCCCCCCGCACACACTCCGGTTTGGCATCCTCACAGGATAAGAAGCTCATCAAAGCTTTCTTCGACGTGCTGGCGCACCCCCAGAACTACTTCAAGTACACGGAGAAACACAAGGAGATGTTGCCCCGCTCCTTCATCAAACTCCTCCGCTCCAAAGTCTCCAGCTTCCTCCGGCCTTACAAATAGCCCCCCACGCCCCCGCCGCCCCTGGGCCGCCCCGCAGCCAAGGAAACCCTCTTCTCTCTTCCTTCTCCTTTCCAATTTTCTCCTTCCTCTGCTCGGCTCCGGCAGGACCATCACCTCTCGCCCTGCAGACGTCCCCCCACGATTTCTCCGCCGCTCCCCGCAGAGCCGTGCCCCTGGCCGGGGGGGGGGATGCTCCGGTCTCATCCAGCCACCAGCGAAGCCGCTCCTCTCCTCCGAAGCAGCTTCTTCATTTTAGGAAACCGAAGCACTGGTCCTTTCGCCGTCCTCCATCCTCCCTTTGGTTTCCTTTATGCCAGGTCTGTCCCCATTCCCTGGTGCCACCAGCAGCCCGGGGCCATTGGGGGGTGGGGGGTCATTGTCCTTCCAGCCCACGGGGCTGGCGCCGGCTGCAGCCCCACCGAGCCCTTTCGCAGAGGAGTGCAAGAAGGTAACGCTGCATTTATCGCAGCGCCTGGGTTGTGGGTGTCAGCATCGCTTTGCAGAGATCGGGGGAAAAGAATTTTAAAAAACATACTTGATTAAAAAGAAAATTTAAAGGAGAGATCAGCAAAGCACGCCAGCGAACGGCAACTGTGGTGGCTCCAGTGGCCGTCCCGCCGGAGAGCCGCGCTGGCGCTGGGAGGAAAGCACAGCCAAGCCACGTTCCCGGAGAACAATGTCTGGCTGCATGGGAGAAAACAGGGAGCAAAGGAGAAGGACTTTCAGCCGGGTTCGTTGTTTTTTTTTTTTTTTTTTCCCCCACCCCAGACACTTGTGCCAAGAAACCAGACTTTCTTACAAGCTCTGCCAAAGAGTAACTCGGAAAAGCAAGCTTTGTGAAGAGCAGGAGTAAATGTTTGTGCACTAGGATATCCTCCTTTCTACCTTTTTCATATGTATTAAGTGCAATCATTTGAGTCTTCTTTATATTATTTAGAGGGAAGTGTTTTGTTTTGTTTTGTTTTTTCTACTAGAAACGACAATATTTATACCTGCCTGAGAAATGAGAATGTGCGTTTGTAACAAAAACAAAAACCACCCACCCAAAGCAAACCTAGCCCCGGGCTGCCGCTGCCCGGCGGGATGCTGTTTTCAGGCCTTGCAACCTTTTCCACCGCGTTTGTCCCCGATAAAAACCCCTGTTTGGAGAGGGGAGACGGTGCCTCTCCTGCTCAGCGTGTGATGGGGTGAGTTTTTGTGGGGGGGTTTGAGGCATCTCGGTCCGTCCAGAGTGGCTGGGGGGACTGTGAGCTTTTGGGCTGATCCGCCGTGGTTTGAGGGTTGTTCAAGCCCCGTTGTGAGGAGGATGCAAAACTCTGCCATCAGCTGCGTGTCGCAAAGCCTTTTGCTTCCCTATAGGGACTCTGGGATGAGCCGAGACCTGGGGGAAACCGAGGGGGCAGGTCCTGAGGCAGGGTCTGGGGGGGCCACGCTGGCAGGAGAGGGGAGCTGCCCCTTCGCTCAGCCCCAAAATTCACCTCCCCCCCGCTCCCCCAAGGTCTGGAGGTCCCCCGGAGGCAGAGCCATCCCTCCCCGGCTCCGGGGAAGCTTCATGCTTCCAAAGCCCTTCAGGTGCCTTCGGCTCCATCCCTGGGTGCGTGCTGGTCCCTCTGCGAGGCTGCGGGAGCCCCTCCCCAGGGAGCGGGGTGCAGATCCCGGGGGGGGGAACCCCCATCCTGCCACCCCCCCCCCAGCCTCACTGCCACCTGCCTTGGCAGCCGAGCAGGGCTGGGGACAATGGCCGGGGGGGTGTCACTAGTGGGTTTGTCCCCTCAGCATCTTCCTGTGGCCAGACAGGACCCTCGGGGCCCAGCGGCCACTGCCACTGATCATCCCTCCTCCTCCTCCCCAAGCCTCGCTCCCTTTCCAGCCTGGCCACCAGCTGCCACCTCCCCGCACCTTCATCCCCATCATCATCCTCTCAAAGACCTGGAGCTGCCAGGACTAAATGTGGCCAATTTGCCTCCTGTTGCCAGATTCCCCTCCCATCCCTGTCCCTGCTTGTCTCCAGCTCTTTGACCACATCTGGGGCGAGCCCTGCTCTTAATGGACCAATTATTTATTGCTCCGCACGTCCCCCGCTCTGGTCAGCCCTTGCCAAAACTGGGAGGCAGCTGCTCACCCAGTTTCCCTCCTCAACCTGTGCTGCTCCGGCACCCCAAGAGTTTCTTCTGGGCGCTGTGAGGGGCTGCAGGCTGGGCGAGCGCTGGCGCAGGGGGCTGAGGTTTGTCCCCAAGCCGCATGGGTTGGAAAAGTCTGTCCTGATTCATCCCAGCTGTGGATTTACCCCTCCTGCCGCCCGGCTCCCAGCCCGTTTGGAAGCTCCACATCTGTGGGCTGAGCCGTTTGTCACTTGGTTGGTGTCTGAAAGCAGCTGCTTTGATGCACAAAAGCTGTTGTAGGGATTTGGAGGGTTGTTTGGTTTGTTGTTTTTTTGTTTTTTTCTTTTTAATTTTTATTGCTCCAGGGCACTCATAGCAGAGTGCTGACCGTTGAAAGGGTCTTTCAGATTTAGAAGAAAAAAAAAAAAAAAAAACAGCAAAAATAAAAACAACCCAGGAAGGACTAACCCCGCTGCGGTGGCCCCGGTGCCATGCAGCCACACGTGCTCACAGTTCATTAATTGTGATTAAATGACGGGGTTTGCCGTCGCTCTGACCCTGCGGGGCACTGGGGCTCCCGGAGCCTCGGGGTGACCTCGTTGCCACCGTTGCCACTGCACCAGCCACCTCCACTCCCCTAAAGAAGTTTCTGAAGGGCAAAGTGGGCAGCACGTCCTCCTGTAACGGCCAGAGACATCTGGTAACATCTCTTCCTCCTCATTTCACCAAATATCTCAAATAACCCCCCCCAAAAGCCCACGGAGCCACCTGAAGCACCCTGCCCACTTCAGCCCCGCTCTTCACCCACACCCACGACTCAGAAAGGGTTTGAAAGGCTGAAAACTGCATCATCAGCCACCTCAGATGTATTGAATGTTTCGACACAGTGAGCATAAATAAGGGTTGTTGGTTGTTTTTTTTTTTTTTTCATGTTGGAATATTTATATCTGCCTTTTGCAGTGGGCCATAACTTACCATCTCCAGCAAAAATTAAAGATGTAGTTCATGAAGTTATTTGCACTTGATTAAGAGAAAAAAAATGTATCTGAACTTTGTAAAAAGAAACGTTTGCATTTTGTATTGTCTTTTTTTAATTATTAAATGGAATTTCTTGGTGTTGTGTTGATCTTTCAGAAACTGGCTTTGATGCTTATTTTAAAGGTTTCTAACAGCAGGATCCAAAGCTATTTTCATTGTTTTGTTCCCTTGGATGCTAAGACAAGCTCTTTTCAAGGGCGTAGGTTTTTTTTTTTTTTTCCCCAGAAGCTTAAATCCTACACATTTCCATAAGCTCGCCAGTCATTACACAATGTATTTATTTATATACATTAATTAGATGCAACAGATCTCATTTTTAGCACAGAACATGGAGTTGGACCGGGGGGATGGAAAACACCCCTTACCTTGGCCCCAACCCCCTTGCTGAGCTGCAGCTCCCTCCCCACAGCCCCCAGCCCTCTGGATCCTGTGGGTAACTGGGCCCAGCTGGGAGACACCCAAGTCCTCCTGAGCTGCTGCTGGGCAGGACCCCAGTCACTGGTTTTTGTGGGGGCAGCAGAAACCCATAAATCCGAGTGTCCCCCAGCACAGGATGACCAAAAGCTCCTAATCTGATATTCCTCTTGAATTCACATCCCTCTCAGCTCCCCACAGCCTCCAAGACCTTTTTTGCTACAAGGAAGCGAGCAGCTCTCTAGCAAACCCTTCCCAACCAGTTCTGGAGGAACACAACCAAGCACACAGCTGTAAGGTGTCCTAAAAGTTTATTGCTGCCCCCCTTAGTAGAGGCGCTGGGGCTTCCCCATGGTGCTCTTGATATACAAAGCACGCACGTTCTGCCAGTTCTTCTTCAGCAAGGACACCAGGAAGTTGATGGCCAGGTGGATGTTGTAGACAAGTTCATCCTCCGTCATCTTCACATGCCCGACAGCCACGGCCAGACAGAGCACCTGGGGGCCAAGGACACCAGGGTCACTCACGCAGGTACAGGTTTTGTGGGGAAATCAAAGCTTACAGCGAAGCGACTGACGGAACAGCCCAGTGCAGATCTGAACTCATCAGGGCATCAAATTATCTCATGTTCTGTCGGCTGGACACGACCTCCCCAGCTTATCCACAGAGCTCATGGTCTTTGGCACGTGGCTCCCACGAACACGTCCGGTGGCAGCCGGACGTCCTCCCTGACCCACAGCTTCCTTCCTCAGGGCACAAAGGTGACTTTGAGACGGCAGGGAGCACCGCTGCCTCCCGGAGATGGGCGAACCGGGAAGGACGTGCCCCACACCGTGCTGAACTGGGAGCAGACCTCTGGTTTAACTCTGTTCCCACACCCTGCTCATTAGGCAGCGCTGGCATGTGCCCTGCCAACCGCTAACCCGGCGCAGAACAGACGATTAGCTCCAAACTTCGCTGCTAAGCGTGGCGCCAGCTTCACTTTTTGTTTTGGGCACCAGCCACCAGCCCTTTCTTTCCACACATAACACACAGAGAGGCCAAGCCTCTGCCTGCCAGCCTCACCGAGAAGCTTGTAAGTTGGTGTTCCCCACAGGCTGAAGACAAAAGGATTTACGAGCAAGCTGACAGGCTAAGTGTCAGGACATCGTTAGCTCAGTTACTTAAAATGCTCCAGCATTTGCAAACTATCACATTTGCTGTGTCCTCCCAGTTGTTGTGCCCCCAGGCCCTGATCAGCTGGAGTCCAAGGATGCACCTCAACTAGCAGTGCTGTTAATTCTGAGTAATACCCATGAGTCACATTTAGACCACTAACGTGAGATTAGAATGCCTTAGCAGGGTTATTTTGTTTTTAGGGAGTCAGCTTGCTTTGACATCTCTTGACAGCAAGAGCAGATATCCACAGAGCTGCTCCGAAGTTCACTTGCAGTCGAGTCCCAGTCTTGCCCCTGGCAAAGCACTGCTGCATGCACAGACCCACAGGGGCACGCCTGGCCCGGGGGCCCCACCCTGCCAGTGTCACCCACGTACTGTAAGAAGCATTAATTATGACTGATTATGCTCAGCATTGAAACATCAAGATCATCTCCTAATTGTTTGCTGTAAGATCATTCAACCAGAGATAAATTACTGCTCCTTCCCAGCTAGCAGCTGAATGCTCTGGGTGCCGTCTCCATTCACTAGAGGAGATTGTCACCAGCTGCCGTTTTAGGAAGAGGCTCGAGGGACACCTACAGCCCAGACCAGAGATCGCAGCCACATACAAGTGACCACCCGTCACAAATAACCCCCAGGTACTTAGCCACCTTGGAGAGGAAAAGCCCTGCTTTACCTTCTTCATCTGAAATTTGATGGTAGATTTGACCTCATCAACTTTGGCCACCAGGTTCTCGTTGTGAGTGAGGAGAGAAGGGAATTTGCCGGCTTTGTTCAGCCCTGGACCCAGGATTCGAGGAATCTGCTTGATCAACGACTCGGAAGCCAGGAAGGCATCATACTTCTTAGCTGCGAGGAGAGAACCAGTGTAGGCAAGGACGGACTCTCAGCTCCTACAGCCAAGCCTGAAACTCACCGCTCAGCTGAGACTGCGCTGCTCCGCCTCCCTCAACACATACATTTCAACACTGCTGGAGTCCTGCCCAGCAGTACCTGAACTGTTTTCACTAATATTCTACTAGAAGTTACTCCTGTCACAAGAGCCAAACCGGCAAGCACCCACCTTCACACCCTGACCAGCACTATTACAGATCACTCCCCTGAAGAAAATTACATTAGTCAAGCCACAGGTGACCAATGCTGAACTCTGAGCTCTACCAGGAGCCTCCCACCACAGCCTGTGCATACGTGGATAGATGGATCATCCCATCTCAGAGAGGCTTAGCTAACAGCCATAGCATCCCATGCCATTTCCCAATTCCATATGGTTCCATGGCTAATTACGGATTGAATGGGAAGTTTTTCTTGTCTGCCAAAGATACGTATCAACGTTACTTTGACGTTGCAAGGAGGGAAGGATTTTCTCTCTCTTACCAAGTATAAATGAGCATTCTATCCATTGAAGCACTACAGGACTAAAGCAAACTTTTGCCTCCAGCTTTACTCAGCTTTTGCTGCACTCCAGCTCCCTGACCAGTGAAGTGAGGAACACCAACTAAGGGTGAAACTTTCAGGGAAACAGGAACAATTTTCCTATATCCCTTCCTTTTGAACAGCAACCAGCCTTACTCCTGGATGGCTGACTGGTCAGACCTTCTGCACTCTTAGCTGGTTGCTTGCTCTTCTGGGTAGTTTCTAGACAGATTTTGGTACTCAGCCTGACTCTGGTCAGCTTTCTACTCCCTGTAGTCAACCATGACATGGAAATCTGAGCACAGAAAAAGCCCCAGGCAACCACACCACCACTCACCCAGCTTCTTCACCAGCTTCTTGTTTTTGTTGAGTTTTTTCAGAGCCTCTATGTCCATGTGAGGGATGTCGACCGCTTTGGCCTCATCGCAGTGCTGCTGGTCCCCCAGCAAGCAGACCGAGAACTTGGGCCGGGGAGTTGACTTCAGCCTGGGGACAGAAAACCCGAATGACCACGACCCGCGCCAGCGCCGCGCGCGCTTCCCTGGGAGCCATCACGGAGACACCTTACCACAGCGCCCGGGGAAGCTTCCTCCACAGCTTCTAACCTGCCTTCTCCAGCAGGTCGGCGGGGACAGCGCAGGGGCGTCCCGCACCTCCCCTCGTGTTTTAAGACCCAGGGTGAGGGTCCGTCCAGCCGCTCCCGCTCAGCCGGGGAGGGCTGAACTACCCGAGCGGTTCAGCGCTGCGTCCCCCGGGCTCGGGCACCAGCGGGGAGGGCGCAGGCCAAAAGGCTGGGTGCGAGCTACAAGATGCCGAACCTGACGGTGCCGGAGAACCGCTTGTCTTTCTGCGGGTCGTAGTTCTTGAGGCTGATCTGCAGCTCCACCGTCTCCACAAACCTGAGGGGGAGGGAGAGGAAAGCGGCGCGGGTGTGGGACCCGCCGGGCTGGGGGAGACCCCGGCCCTGCCACGGCGCTGGGTTCTTACTTGCGCTTCTTGGTCTTGCTGCCCTGCAGCACCTCCTTCACCGCCTCGTACAGGGTGTCGCGGGAGACCTTGCTGCTGCGGGGGGGGGGGGGGGGGAGGAAAGACAAGGCGGGCTCAGGGCTGACCCTGCCCGGGCCTCCTGCAGGCCGCGGCGATGGAGGACGAGGTCCCCGAGCGCACCCCGGCCCATCCGCGCTCCCCCGCAGGCACCTTCCCCCCCACACACACACCAGGCGCCCGGACGGCCCCGCGGCTGCCCGCCGGGCGCGGATGGAGGCGGATAACGGCGGACGCGGCCCTCACTCACCTCATGGCGGCTGCCGGCCGGGACCGAGAGGGCGGGGCCACACCCCCCCCGAGGGATACGTAGAGGGGCGGATCTCGCGAGACTTGGCCGCGCCACGCTGGGAGTGGCGGAAGTGTGGCACGGCGCGGCTGCCGCGCCGGGAGTGGTGGGAACGAGGCGGGAAGGGCTGCACCGGCTCCTTGCGGGAGGAGCGGCCGGGGCACAGCGCCTCGCTGCTGGGACAAGTTCCCCCTCTTGGGATTCAGGGCTATAAAGCTTCGTTACTAAGTTTTCCCGCGTAGAGACCCGCGATCGGGCAGGCCACCTGAGGGCAAGCCCACCTTCTCGGCTTCAACGCCGGCAGAGCGCATGCGCATGGCTCGCCCGGCTCTCGCCCTGCCAGCCCGGTTCCGGGAGGCGGAGCCGCGGCGCCCCGGAACCTGGATGGCGGGGGGCGGGATGAATGGCTGTCAGTGGTGAACGCGGTCGCTATGCGAGTTGCGGGGCGAGCGGGGGCCGGGCCCGCGGTGCATGGCGGTCAGGCGGCGGACTCGGCGCCGTCGGGTCTCCTCAGGTCGGTGCTGGGGGGCGGGAGGCCTGAGGCGGCGGGGGGAGATGGCGGCCGAGGGGCAGCCGCGCCGCGGGGAGGTGCCGGCACCACCTGCCTGGCCAGCAATACGTGGGGGGCTCCGCCATGTCTCCCCGCCACCCCCCAGGGCACCTGGTCCCGCCCCGCCGCTCGCCTCAGGGCTCGCCGTGGCGACGGGCACCCCCTGCCCCTCAGGGCGCCAGGCCCTACCTTGCCTTGTCCTCAGCCCGCCCTGGGTGCCTTCACACCGCAGCCTACACCTGGTTTTCCCTCAAATAGTGCCTGCCCCATCCTTTCCAGGGGGCCGTGGCCCCTCCAGCATCGCTGACAGCGCTTTGCCTGGCAGCCGTAGCAGCTCAAAGCGGGCTCCGTTCCCCAGCGACCCTCCTGGGACGGAGCCTTTGCTGGGAAATGAGCTGCAATGCCCCTCAGGAGGTGTCAGCCCTAAAAGCAGGCAGTCTGCTGCCCCTGGAGAGGAGCTGCCTGTCCTGTGTCGCTTGGGTTAGAGGGCACGAAGCGTGGCGCAAAGCCTGGCTGCACCCCTGGGTGCTGCAGTGACAGAGCTGTTAGACTTGTTCCTGGAAATCAAAATGATAAAATATTAGGCTATCTCAGAGATTATTCATGAAGAATCCACTGCAGCTGCTTTTAAAGATAATCTGTCAGCGGAGTGCCTCTTTAGCAAAATGTTCTCGTGGGGGCGTGGATGTTTTAACCTCATCTGCTTATAGCCTCAAATTCTGTTCCTCAGAAGGCCGGGAATTAGGAAGGGGAGGAGAGAATGAGGATGCTTCCAGTGACAAAGCTCGTCATCCTGCCCCTGTCTCTTGCAGTACAGGACACCCTCAGCCTGTAGGTTCAGATTTTAAAGTACTCAGAAACTTTTCCTGCAATTCATTTGGAGGATGGGAAGGGCTTGAATGTGGCATTTACACTGACTTTAAAAAGAGTCTGTCAGTTCGCTGGCTTGATAAGCTTTAACTTATACTTATCTGTGGAATAGATGGTTAGCCCTGCCTGCCATTGGTATGGGAAGGGATGCATCTTTTGCCCAGTTTAATCTGTTGTAATCTCCAAAATAGTTTGCCATCCAAGCCCTTCTTAATGTGCAAAACAGAGTATACATGTGTTAGGAGAAAATAAAATTTGAATTGTTCTTTTTATTTAAGGCTTGCAACAAAGAAGACAACTTACTGTTCTACAAACCTCTTGCTCTGGGTCCCGGTGCTCTCTGCGAGCACGCAGAGTAAAGTGAAATTCATGTCTGAGCAGTCATCGGGGCAGGATGGAGAGCTTGGGCTTGCAAGCAGTGACCCTTAGTGACGGGACGACAGCCTATATTCAGCAGGCTGTCAAAGGTAACGGTTCCTTTGGGCTGCGAAGTCTAAATGTCTCTTGACTGACTTTGCAGTTAAAGTCGACTTATCCAGAGTGCCCTCACAGCACGCAAACTCTCATACATCTTCTTTGGTTTCTTGGTACAGGAAGCTAGCAGCTATTGGTTAGATTGGCACAGAGGAGTGACAGCAGAAATAAAACATGTGTCTGGTTTGGAAATAAAGCTTTGGAGATGGGAGAGCTGTTGCTCTGAAGGTTCTCTTCAGACTAGAGCAAACCCTGTTCTCTCCAGGGTAACTGGGGAAATGGAGTTCATGCTATGGCCTACAGGAGACTATTCAACCAAAACTTCCCCTGAAGCTAAGGAGGATGTTTTATTTCACTGAGATGCATAGAATTTGGTTGACAGTAGTGTTTTTCTCACTCAAAGGTGTGCTGAGCTTGGCGTTGGTTATCTGAAGCAATATCAGTGCCAAATTCAACACCTGCCCTTATTTGGTGTTTGTGAGATGCTCCTTCCTTCACTGTTCCTGAGAAAAGCCACACGCTGTTTCCCAGCTTGTGGAAGAGAACAGTTGAGTTGCCAGGCTTCATGTCCGGAGGATTGCTCTCTTGCTTTTCATTCTGTCTGAACCCACTACAAGTTTACTACATGTGTGGAGTTGTGACCCCCCCCAAATGTTATGCACCAGCTGAAAGCAACCTAGATTCCTCACGTTCAAGTGGAAGAGAGCAGTGTCCCCTCTGCATCAAAATAATTCAGTACCTAAAACATTATTATAGGGTTACTCAGGGTTATTTTAAGAGTCCAGTTTTCATAACTCATGAAGGGTGGCAACACTTTTAGGTCCTGTAATTTTTTTCCAAGACTCGATCCTCCACCAAAGTAGAAGAAAATAAATGTTCAGGCCCCTGCTGATACCATTAAAATCTCCCAGTTTTTCTCCAGCACAAGTGTAATTGCTTCCCACTTTCAATTCAAAACACTTAGCACACATCATTCTTTCTGCTTCTTGGCTTACATGGGCTGTGAGGGGCAGCTTGTAAACAAGCAATGACTGAGGTTCTTTGTCTTGTATCCTCCTGTCTAGGAAAGGGAGGCTCCAGCATTTCTGGGAAGTTAAGTGCCACTATGGCTATTCATGGGAAAGCTTGATAAATAACAGCTTATAAGCAACACTTCTGCTCTCTTCTGTGGGACTGGTTTCCTTGAGAAGAGGCAGCAAAGGGGACAGCTCATGGGACCAGAAAGACTGGACTCTGCAGCCAGTGCTGATGGCATTTTTTTAACTGTTTCAGGTGAAAAGCTGATTGAAGGGCAAGTCATTGAACTTGAAGATGGGACCACAGCTTATATCCATCAGGTGACAGTTCAGAAAGGTGAGCACCATAAATTCACTTCTTTCTTTTTAGAATAATATTGTAGATGTAACTATACTTGTCTGTCTTCTAACAGTTGGGCTCCTCTATTAGCTCTAGCTTTAAGAAGTCCATATAGGTGTAGAGTTGTTTTTTTCTGGCCCATGGTTTGGAGGCTGAATGAGCAAGGACATAGAATGTGATTCCCTGCAGTTTTTAGCAGTCTGTCAAGGCGGCAGATTTGCTGGTGGTGTCAGCAGATGTTTATGTGTTGTTTCACCTGTGGGCTCTCTCACAGTTGTCAGTCTGACAGATCACAGGCAAGGCCAGTAAGCTGTGTGCTGCGTTCATGCCAGCCACAGAACCCAAAGTTTGTTTAATGTGGGAGCAATTGGACAGGAATTTCCTCTGAACTATGAGATAATATATTACTGCTGGCATAGGTGTTTGCTGGGAGAGGGTATAAAAGGCAGGTAGAATGAGCTCTGTTGCTTTGGGCAGTCCTTCCTTCACCCTCCCAAGCTTCTTGTATGCCACCTCCCTTTTCTGTTCTTCAAAAGTTGCTTGAAACCCACTTTGTATGCCTGGCTGTGCCCCTTTCCTCCCTTTATCTTCTTCCCCGCCTCCAAACGCACACACACAGTGAGAGGGTTTTCCTTCTCATCCCTGCTTCCTTTTCCATGGGATGGCTGTTGTTGTGGTTTAGGCCTGATTGGCAGCCAACCACAATGCAGCAGCTCTCTCTCCCTTCCCCTCCGGCAATGAGAAGGGACAGAGAGCCAGGCTTGGGGTTCAAGATAGGACTGGGATGGGGGAAAATCCCCCTTTTATGATCACGAGCAAAAGGCAGACTCGTTAGGGGAAGGAAAAAAGAACATACATTTATTACAGACACTAACAACACATAACAGAGTAGGACAGTGAGAAGCATTGCCACATCTTGAGAACACTTTCCCCCCCCACCCCTCCCTTCCTTCCGGGCTCAGCTCTGCTCCCGATATCTCTACCTCCTCCCCCAGTGGCGCAAGGGCAGGGAATGGGGGTGCAGTCAGTGCTGCCAGTTCCTTCATGTTCGGTGAGGGGAGTGTCCAAAACTTGTTCCTCCTGCTCCATCGTGGTCCCCCTCTCACAGGAGACAGTCCTCCACAAACTTTCTCTGACTTGAATTCCTCCCACGGGCCGCAGCGTTCCCCACACTGCTCTGTCATGGGTCACTAACTTCCTCCGACTGGATTCTCTCCCACGGCTGCAGCCCTTCCCGAGCTGCTCCGGCGTGGGACTCCCCCGCATGCTGCAATCCTCCCAGCGCTGAATTACAGCAGCGGGGTTACCTTTTCCCATGAGACCCCGGCCTTCTTCGGGCACAGAACCTTGATCATCAGAGCAGGAGCAACAGGCCATAAATCAATGTCTGCTCCACCATAGATCTCCATGGGTGGCAGGGGGGGCCGCCCTGCCGTCTCACCACAGGATACAGGGGGGTCTCTGCTCCGGCACACCTCCCCCCTCCTTTCTTCCTCCGTTCCTCCACTGACCTTGGTGTTCATGCAGCTGCAGCAACTCCTCCTCACCAGTCCCACTACACGTCACCACGTCCCTTCTTAAATACGTTATCGCAGAGGTGCAGCCGATTGGCTCAATTTCCCAAACAGAAGTGGAGCTGACATGGAGCTGGGGGAGCTTCGAGAAGCTTCTCACAGGGGGCCGCCCCGATAGCCCCCTCCCCTGCCACCAAAAAACTCCACCACTCACTCAACCCAGGACACTGTGTTCTCCTTTACACACCCCTGTGCCAGACCCCTCCTTCTTGTCTGGGACATAATCTGACATTTTGGGATTGATGAGATACTGCATTACCCCAGTGAGCTATAGGAGAGTGATGAAGCTATGCATGAAGCCTTAAAAACCTCATAAGTCATGTTGGAAAGGGCTCAAGGGGTGTCTTAAAACCTACAGTTGTGGTTGACTTTCACTGCAACCAGGCAGCCCTGCTGTGTCTTCTTCTGTGGGTGTGAACACTGTAGGGTTCAGGAACTGATGCAGTATCCCCTCCATCCCATCTGAGTCTCCTAGTAAGATATGTGGATTTTTGTCTTTTCTTTTAGAGTCTGTGGCTTTTGAAGATGGTCAGCCAGTGGTGTTGGAAGATGGCAGTATGGCTTACATACACAACACAGCTAAAGGTAAAGTGTTCCCTGTTCTTCCCTTGGCAGCTGGAGTAGAAGCTGCTAAAGCATCACAGATTTCAAAGGCTGTAGGTCACCTAGGGAGATGAAGAGTGCCTCGCACTCAGCAGCTCTTGCATTTGATTTTATTGGTTTCCTCTTGCAGAAGGTTATGACCCCAGCACCTTCGAGGCTGTCCAGCTGGAGGATGGCTCCACTGCCTACATACATCATCCTGTCATCATGCCACCTGGCAGCACCGTCCTGGAAGTGCAGGCAGAAACTGGGCTAGAGGAGTTGGCTGGAGAGGAGGAAGATGATGCCTTTGATGTCGAGACCATTAATACATTAAAGCAGTATGCCAGTAAGGTGAGGATGCAACGCTTCTTTCATGGTCTGCCAGCAGCACTGAGGAGCTGGTGTAGTAGTCCACATTTGGCCTGGGGTTTAAGTGTCCTCCCTTCATTAGTCCTTCTGTGTATTTATTTTTCAGCAATGCCAGCTTTGAGAAGAGAAACTGGACAGGGCTCCACAGAGAGTGCCACCACTGAGAGGTGGCTGGCAGTTCAGGACCTAGAACGGGGCAGTTTCCTGCCAGACCCTCTAGCTTGTTTCTGCAGAGTGCCGGGCCTACCACCCTTAACCTGCTGCAGGCACAGATTTGGGAAGAGCAGAGAGCTGCTCTGATACAGCTTGGATTTCTTTTTCTTGCTTTAAATGACCCTCCTTGTAGGTGTTTTCTTTCTGTTTGCCTGGGTTTCTCATAATGCCACCTGGGTATGATGTTCTCTTCCACAGATGATTCAGGCAGCAGATGGAGGCAGCAGGAGTGGCTAAGTAATGGCCAGTGTTCCCCATGTTGACAAAGGCCTCAGAAACAAAACTAGCTTCAGATCCTAACGTGTAGTCACTGCAGTGCTCCACCTGAATGTCCTGGGTGCTGCCATTTTCTCCCATCTTCATGGTGTTGTGTGAGAAGGGGCTATGAGGAGTGTGCTGATACAGCGCTCAGCCAGGCAGCATTAAGATTTGCTGATGGAGACCTTTCTGCTACAGTAGAACCAGCCTCCCCAGCTCTCTGGGGAAGAGTGGTGCAGCACTGTAGATGTGAATGCCTTCCTGCTTGGGTTGCTCACCTGTTCCATGCTGTACAGGGAGGCACAAACAGTGCCTGTGCTTTTTTACTTGCAGGCATCTGATGAGGAAGAGGAGGGAGTGACAGATGCCTGCCAAATGAAGAACAAGGACTCCAGTGACTTCCCTTCCCAGGTCTGTATTTTTCAGTGATGCGTTTCTGAAACTAGGCTGAACTCCTTAATGCAGAGTGTTTTGCCAGCTAGTAATTAAAAAAAGCTCTGTGGCTTCTCTGCCAAGTTAGCAAATATATTAGCTACAAGATTTACAAATGAGCTAATTGAAGCACAGAGCTGTGAGTTGTGTGTCTGAGAACACCCAGTGATCTGGGAGGTGGGAATGGGAAATGCTGGTACCCAGATCCCTGTCCTGTCACCTGGGTTGCACCATATGTGTACAAGCTGTGTTTGTATGAACATGTTTTTGTGAGGATAACTGAAGGAGTACTTACGATAGCAAGGAGGGAAATTATCGAAATTATCTGCGTGGGCTTTGCAAAGCCCGCTGTAGTGGCTCTCTGAATTAATTTCCATACATCTCTGGGCAGGATTTGCAGGAGGAAGAAGTGCACAGCAATGAGAAGGGGCAGCAGGTCGGCAGTAGAGCTTTCCGCTGTGGGTACAAAGGCTGTGGCCGCCTCTATACCACCGCCCACCATCTAAAGGTAAAGCAGGTAACATGCAGTCACGCAGCGAGCAGACCAGACATACCACATGTTATAGTGCCAAATCAGAATGCTGCTATACAAAAGGCTGTTGTGTGCTTGGCTTCCCAGGAGATCCATATGTGTTAACTGGCCAAGATGAAATCCAGCAGAGAACTTGAGATTCTCTTCACCAGCTAGATTTCTCCACGCTGTTTTCCCTCCTCCTTGTCTTGGACCTCATTTGAGGCACTTGTTCTGTATTTTCCAGGTACACGAACGTGCTCACACAGGTGACCGGCCATATACGTGCGACTTCCCAAGCTGTGGGAAAGCATTTGCTACAGGTAACAATTTTTCTTTTGAGCAAATTTTGTTTTCTGTCCAGTCCAAACCACTCTTGAGTATCTTGAGTTCAAACCACTCTTGAGTATCTTGAGTTGGCTTTTTTTCTGGCAGAGCAGAATTAGCATCACTTTTAAAGGCTTCTGAGAAGGAATTGCAGCGTGGGAGGCTGCCTGGGACCTCACTGCTTGTGGACAGATTAAAGGAGTTACAGGATGAAGCTGAGTTGTTGTGGTGTTGTGGGGCTGTTCGGATACTTCTTCCCCTTCAGCTTTGCAGACATGGGGCAGACATTCAAAAATGCATGAGCCAAGAGGTGGTACACAGCTTGCCATGTTGTTTCCTGCTCATTATAAAATTAATTGTGGTTTCTTTCCTGGACAGGGTACGGGCTAAAGAGCCACGTGAGAACACATACCGGTGAGAAACCATACAAGTGTCCAGAAGATGTGTGTAGCAAAGCCTTCAAAACCTCTGGTGACCTACAGAAACACATCCGGACACACACAGGTGAGCAGTACAGAACTGAGCTGCCCATTGAAAGGGTCTCCAAGATGAAGTGCTGCTTCAGCCTTTGTCTGGGACGTGCCTTTTTGTATCTTGGGTGAAGCAAGGCAGAACTGAAGTTATCTTCAGACAGAAGTAGGTGGATAGTAGAAGTAGTACTAGGAATTCTCAACTCCGTTATGAACAGCAACGTAAAAGGAGTGGGGATGTCAGTGTTGCTAGAGGAAATGTGCCAGCAGTTGGGTCTGATCTGAGGTCTCGTCGTTGTAACACTGTGGAGGAGTGAAGGGATACAGGTGTCCAGGGCACCCCAGGGAGCTGCATTGCAGCAGGACTCTCATCCACGTTACTCTGTCAATGCAGGTGAGCGTCCCTTCAAGTGCCCCTTTGTGGGCTGCGGCCGTTCTTTTACCACATCCAACATCCGCAAGGTTCACATCCGGACGCACACGGGCGAGCGGCCGTACATGTGTCCGGAGCCCAACTGCGGGAGGGGCTTCACCAGTGCCACCAATTACAAGAACCACATGAGAATCCACACAGGTAAGAGGAGGAGAGGGTGAAACACAGATGGCTTCTCCGTGTGAAGGACAGTGTGTGGCAGCAGGGAAGTCTGTGGGACTGAAACGATCATTTCCAGGCCAGGCATTGCAGGGGTAGATCTGGGGGGTAATCAGGGGGTTAAAGGAAATAGGAATTGCTTTATTGCTGATGATTGTTCCACCGGTCTGTCTCTTGCTCTTGATGGGGAATCCCTTCCTGGAGCACGGGGAGGGTGGGTGGGTTAAACTCCTCTGTGGCCTCTGCCCTAGGAGAGAAGCCGTACATGTGCACTGTGCCAGGCTGTGGAAAGCGCTTCACTGAGTACTCCAGCCTCTACAAGCACCACGTGGTGCACACGCACTGCAAGCCCTACACCTGCAGTAGCTGTGGGAAAACCTACCGCCAGACCTCCACGCTGGCCATGCACAAACGCAGCAGCCACGGCGACCTGGAGGCCACGGAGGAGAGTGAGCAGGCCCTCTACGAACAGCAGCAGCTGGAGGGTGAGCAACCACTGCCCCATCCCCTGCGGCAGGCCTGGGTCAGGCCGTGCAGCAAAGGGGAGGGAGATGATGGCAAGAGCCTTCAGCCTCACCCCTCTCGCAGATCCGGGTCTGTGCTGTGGCCTCCTGCCTCCCCCCATCAAACCCCGATCTGTGTCACAGATGAGAGAAAAGGGCTCCCCGTGGTTCTCACTGTGTGTCATGGGTTGGGAATGGACTCCTGCCCGTTCTGTAGTACAGGGAGAGGTAAAGACCCTTCTTCCCAGGCCAACGCTGGGCTGTTGACATCGTGATCTTGTGCTTTTCTGCGCTGGCCCTTCTGGCAACAGGTGTGTCCCGGGGTCAGGCATGTGCTTCCACACTGATCAGCACTTCTCTCACCCCTTTTGCTCTTCCCCTTCCCTGACTCAGCTGCTGCTGCTGACAGAGGCTCCCCACTAAAGAGCCAGCATATTGCTTTCCTGTCAGAGATGGAGGAAGAGGAAGATGGTGTGGCTACACAGGTCTCACTTATCTCTCAGGATGGGACAGAACAGGTATGGACACTGACAGCCAGCAGCATGTGGGGGGCAGCCGTTATCTGAGTGAGATTCTGCCTCTACCCAGCCTTGGTGGGCTTTTTTTCCTAGAATCATCAAATGGTTTGGCTTGGAAAGGACCTTAAAAATCATCCACTCCCACCCTCTGCCCCAGGCAGGGCCCCCTTCCCCCAGCCCAGGGTGCTCCCAGCCCCGTCCAACCTGGCCTTGAACCCTTCCAGGGAGGGGGCAGCCACAGCTGCTCTGGGCAACCTGGGCCAGCACCTCACTGCCTGCACAGGGAAGAATTTCTGCCTTATATCTAGTCTAAATCTGCCCTCTGTCAGTTGAAAACTATTACTCCTCATCCTATCCCCACACCCCAGTAAAGAGTCCCTCCCCACCTTTCCTGTCCCCCCTTTAAGCCCTGGGAGGCCGCTCGAAGGTCTCCCCGGAGCCTTCTCTTCTCCAGGCTGAACCCCCCCTACTCTCTCAGCCCGGCCTCCCAGGGGAGCTGCTCCAGCCCCCCCAGCATCTCCGTGGCCTCCTCTGGCCCCGATTGAGCAGGTCCACATCCTTTTTCAATATAAAAGAGACCCTGGGGCTTCATGGATTCTGTCTGTTGTGGGGGCTCCCTCCTTGCAGCCTTACCCCACTTCTGCAGTCTTGATGTGGAGGGTAAAGAAGGGCCCCTGGTCCCCGAGTCACCTTCTTGCTGGATGGGGTCTTACAGGTGTTTGCCCAGGCCTACGTGCAGCGCCTGGCAGCCCTCGCCTCCCGGAGAGTTGTCAAGAGGCAGCTCCCAATCTGCTGACACAGGCTGGATTTGGAGATTGTTTTTTCATCATGTGTATACGGCAGCACTTTTCTTGTACTTCCCTCCACCAGTGGCCCATGTGCTGACTGGGAAAAACTCCCTTCTGTGGCATGGGGCAAAGGAAACGGCTGCCACGAGTAGCGTGTTTCCTCTGAGACGCACAGGCTGTCCCTTCAGAGCCCGGAGAGAAGATGCTAAATGGGAAGGGGAGGTTTCGTAGAAAGGGGAGGGCTGGAGACCTGAGGTCTGGGAGTTCTCCGTCAATTCTGTCCATGACACTGGGCAAAGTCCTTGGAGTTCTCTGTGCCCTAGGTCTGGCATGCAGAGGAGGAGAGAATATTTCATCCTTACTGAGACCTTTGTGTTGCTAAACTCAGGAGTTGCCCAAGGCTTCCTGAGAAGCCATCCTGGCTGAGAGCATCCGCTGTTCCCCCGCCCAGGTCAGTTTGTCACGGGAAGAGCTGCAGGCCCTGGGCAGCGTGATCAGCGTGGTGACGCAGAGCGGTGCCCTCGCCGTGCCCGAGGAGGAGCTGGCAGGTGATGGCACACACGCCGTGACTGTGGCCAGCGCTGACAGCACCGACACGCAGCCGGTACAGACAAAACTGGGACCTTCCCTTTTCCCTGCGGAGAAACGGCCTGCTAGGAGGGAACTGCATTTTCTTTTAAAACATGATCGGTTTTTATCTTCATTTTCCCTAGGTCGCCATAGTCACCTCTGGGGCAGTCGTGTCTGAAGAACCAGCCCTCGCATCGCTCCGCCATCAGCAGGTGGCATTGCTGGCTACCACCAACGGCACCCACATCGCAGTGCAGGTACCGCACCGCTCCTGCCGCCTTCCCCCTTTCCTTCCCTCGCCCACCCCCTGGCTTCAGCCCTTACCCTCTTGCTCCTTGATTCCCGGATGCCCTCTGTGTGCAGAGGAGAGCAGGGACATGCTCCTTGGATTGCAGAACGCTTTTTTGTAAACATCCTTTCCCCATTGTAGCCGTGTCTCTGCTCTGCCGCTTGCTCCCCGTGTCACCCGCTCGTGCCTCTGTCCCACCTGGGGCTGCCCTGAGCGAGCCCACACCTCCTGAACCCACCTTTTAGGAGGACAGAGTTACTTCTCTCCCTTTCCTCCACTAGTTAGAAGAACAGCAGAGCCTGGAGGCAGCCATCAGCATGGCCGCAGCAGCGATCCAGCAGGAGCCTGTAACGCTCGCCGTGGCTGAGAACGGGTGCTGAGACCCCGCGGAGCCTCCCGGGCAGGGAGAGCAGGCGGCCCGAGCCTCTTCTCCACGGGCTGTGGGGAGCTGCAGGAGGGGGCCCAGCCGGCCGCGGAAGAGGTGCGGTACGCGGTGAGGGAAGGTGGCCGGGGCCGGCAGCCAGCGTGTGCACCGCGCAGGCGGTGAGAGCCGACACCGGCAGCGCTGGGCTACCAGGGTGACCCTGCTGGAAGGGCTCTTCTCTCCATGGAGGGATGTCAGAGATACTTGGCTGCTGCCTTCACCCACAGGCTCTGCTGTTTTCCTGGGCTCTGAGCAGCAACTTCCCTGCTCAGAGGGAAGAACTCCTTGCCTTGGGCACTGACTCCTGTCTCAAAGGAGATGGCAGATTGTGTCTTCTAGTATTTATTTCTTCATGGCTAAAATTTCCAAGACCTGCCGGTCTTCTGCAGTAGAGGTGGAGCCACAGAGATTTCAGCAGTCTCTGGGAGCACAAAAATTTTTTGGAGAGATGCTTCCTGCCCTCTCCCCCCTTAGGAATGGTCCAACAGCTCCCCTTTCCTGCCCACCCCTCCCAGTAAGGGCCAAGTGGGCAGCACATGCACAGAAGCAATAAAGCCCCAACAAACCAAACCCAGGCTGTCCCGGGCTCAGTGTCTGGAGCAGTGACCAGTCCCTGATGCTGGAGCAAGCGCTCAGGCTGGCTCTGACACTAATTCTCTCATCTCTTTCTCACTCTGCTCTCGAGCACACTTCCTTGGCAGACTCAGCACCATGGAGCAGCTCAAAGCGCTCCCTCCACTGAAACCAACCAGCACTTGTTGGGGGCTGAGCTAGACTTGGATGTAGATACTGAGTTGAAATAAAAACAAACTTAAAATTTTCTTTTTAAAAAGAAGCACCCATTTCTCTTTCAGTTCCTGGGGCCAGTGGCTGGCAGAGGGTGGGAGGGATGTTACTATTTTGCAGATGTAAGAGTTAAGGAAGTTCAGGAGATTTGTTGGATTGACCGAAAGTGCAGTGATTGTCCAAGACCAGTGCTGACGAGGCATGTGAGCAAGAGAAGTTGAGCTTTCAGCGTGTGTTGTGGAGGGGCTAAGAGCTGTCTCCTGAATTTCGGATCAGGCCTTGGCTTCTCCAAGGGCTCCCGCAAGCCTGGTTTTAGGGAATTATGTCGTTTAATACAAGAAAATGTGTCTGTGAGTGCATCCTGCAACCCTCTGAGCTGATAGGAGTAACCTCAGCCCCTTTGCTGAGTACCTCTGCCCTGGGCAGACTGTGGGCAAAGCCAGCGCAGAGAGCACCACAGAATCATTTAGGTTGGAAAAGACCTTTAAGATAATCAAATCCAGCTGTAAACCTCACACCAGCACAGGCTCCCAGCAATCGGGTGATTGATTTTTTTGGCTGTACCCAAGGAGTTTGCAGAGGAAGAGGTTTCTGCAGGCAAGGAACGGGCATAACCCAGGGGGGCTGCAGCGGGTTAGATCTCTGCTTGCCTTCCTTGGTGCGACTGATCCCAAAACACGCAGGGCTGGAGCCTTTCCAAAAGGCACAGCCCGCGCTCCCGCTGCGAGGGCGAGCGCTTCGCTTCAGTCCCCGGAGAGGAGGCTGCTGCTGGAGTCCGGGAGGGGATTTCTCTCCCCGCAGAACACCAAAAAAAAAAAAAAAAAACAACGCTTTTGATCTCGAGGCTGAGCTAGCAAAGGGTTACGAATCCCTGTTCGTGCTCCGGGAGCCAGGGGTTGTGCTTCCCTGCGTGGGAAGGGGATCTGTCCGTGGCTGCGAGGGGGAAAGACCCGTGGGGCTGAGATGTTGCCCGTGGCAGATGGCGCTCCTGCTCCGCGTGTCCCCCCGCCGCCCAGGGCTGTCGAGGCAGGCGGTTTCCTGGAACCGGATCCTCGGCCTCGACAGAGCCGCCTCTGCCCTCGCCGCCTGTAGCCATGGACCTGCGAGCGGAGCTGCTGAAGTCCATCTGGTACGCCTTCACCGCCCTGGATGTGGAGAAGAGCGGCAAAGTCTCCAAATCCCAGCTCAAAGTGAGTCCCCAGGGAGGCTCGGGCGGCCCCGGCGTGGGGCTGGGGGGGTGGGCTGCGAGGGGCCGAGCGGGTCCAGCGATGCTTTGTAACCCCCCCCCGCGTTTCCGCAGAGGGAATTGTTAAATATTAAGATTAATAAGACTTTGCCGTCGTCTCTGTGCTGGTTTTGGTGAAGTTTCCGTCTCTACCTTGTCTCCCTTTAAAAAAAAAAAAAAAAAAATAAAAGGGAGTTAACGCTCAAATGTATTTTCTAGACGAAAATGAGGAGAAATCTAATTTTTAGTTGTTTTCAGTTTCTTCTACTTTTTATGCCCAACTAACAGCCCAAACTCAGTTTATATTTTCTTGCTTGCCTGAGCACCCACGTTTCTGCTTCCTGTTCAGCCAGTGGGTCGGTAGGTAGAGGCGCAGACTATTTTTAAATTAAAACTCCTCAGTGGTCTGGCCAGAAATAACACAGCGCTTTTAAAAAAATCTCTGCTTTCCCCTCTCCCCCACTCCCTCAGCAGCTTTGCAGAAAGCTCCTGCATTCAGCCCTTCGTCAAAACCATCACAGCTTTAAAAACCTTTTTCTCTGCCTCTGGGACAGGGTCTGGTCGAATGCGCCAGGTTGCACTTTGGGTTTGACAATAATTACTGATTTTTTTTTTTTTTTTTTCCCTTTGCAAATGATGGGACGCCTTTTTTGTTGCTGTGTAAGTGTCCCATTGTGGTTCTTAGGCTGGCGTCCGGGTTGGACGTGCTCGTTGGAGCAGGGGGCTGTGATGCAGAGGAAAGACCTGAGCTAGAAACATGCAAAACCCAGGGACGTGTTGCGTCAGGACTTGGCAGCTGCGAGATCAGTTGTGAAACGCTGCAAAGAAACCTCTTTTCCTCTATTCCCTCTCCTTTATAGGGCTTCTCCCCAGGACAGACTGCAGGAAAGGTGCTGGGTTTGGTGCTGAGGGCATGTTTTGTCCAAAAATTAAGAGTTTTGTTTACAGGGGTTTGGAGGAGAAGCAGCGGGAGCCGGGTTCCTCCTGCTCAGCCGCTGCCTTTGCAGCCAAGAGCCTCCGGCTGCTCCCCAGAAACTCGTTGCCTGTGTGCCCTGCCAGCCACGCTCGCCTACTTAAAAATGTAGAAATACCTGAAGGAATTAAGGAAAATCCTAAAGTAGGCCAGAGCCTAATTCCCCTTGCTAATCCCCAGGAGGGTGCTGTGCTCCCCTCACAGCATCCCCTGAACCCGGGCTCTGCGTCCTGAGCCCAGCCCAGGCGCGCTGCCGGCCCTGAAAACGCCGGTGTAAACACGTGCAGTGCTTGTCTTGCGAGATTTCTATCACCAGCAATGATGCTGAGGCCACAGAGACCCTAATTTTAACGACAATTTCCTAGAGAGTTTGTGCAGGAGGGGACGTGGAGCTGCATACCCTCATGCAGGGACCGTGGGGATGCTGGGGACGACGTCTCCGCAGTGGCTTTGCCCAGGGTGACATTTCAGAGGGGAAGGGAGATTCACCCCTCGCTGTTTTTCCACTCGCCTTCAGCGATGGGACAGGATGGCGGCGGGTCAGGCTGCGCCGTTGCACGGCAAAGCTCAACTCTGGATAATTTTCCACCCGCCTCAAGGCCAGGGAGAGCTCGTTTCCATCCCCTGTTGCTGCTGCCAAACGCTGGCTCAGGTTTGCCCCAGCCTACGCAAGCCAGCAGTGACATTTCTGTTCGTTCAGTGCAGAAGAAATCCAGGGTCTCGCAGGTTTGAGCAATAACGTTAAAGCCGCAGTGGCCGTGCCCTCTCCAAACTCCCCCCGGGCTGAGTGAGCCGGGCTGCGCTCTGCTCCCTCACCCAGGCATGTTGCTGCAAGAAGGGTCTTGAACAAGGGGGAGAGAGGCGCCGGTGTTCACAGCATTTGCACCTACAGATGCAAAAATTGACACCTACAAAACCAGCCCCAGGAGCTGGGGTGGGATTTTGCTGGTAGATGAGCAGCATGCCGGCGGGAGCCGGGTGCTTAACTCCTCCAACCTCTCTCCCGCCGGCTGCGTAAGTAAATTTAGCAGCATTTCAAAGCGGGGTGGCGAAGCTGTGGGAAGCCGCTGGGTTCAGCAGTTGAGTTCTTTGCATGGACACTCCTATGCAAGCAAGCGTGTGCATATGTATATGCGAGTGTAGGTGTGTATCTGCACAGGAAGGAAAGACAGTCTTGTGGTTGAGTGCTACACGTCAAGAGATGTCGGGTAGTTCTGTTCCCAGCCTGGGCACGCACTAGCCCTGCTCTCGGATGAGTTTTTATCCTGTCCGTGCCGTTGCATCCTCCCTGGCCGAGCTGGGGGGAGCTACTCCTTGTCTCTGCAGATGCTGGCTGGGATGTGGGAAGGCAGAGCTGAGCCCTTCGGGGTGGCCCTGCCCGGCTGGGGCAGTGGCTGGGAGCCACCGAGCACCGTCCTGGTGCTTTTCGACATCTCTTCTCCGCTCCTGTCCCTGTTGCGGAGGGAGGGGAGCGGTTTGCTGAGCGGAGCTCCATCTCCTGAGGCTGCCCGCAACAGCAAAGCCCCTGGGGAGTGGCGAGGAGAAGGCTGGGGGGACAGGCGAGCGGTTCAAATGTGTGTCGGGGGCCACAGGGATCTCCCACCCGCTGCGTGGGGTTGCAGATTTGGGGTGCAAATGGCAGGGGAGGTGGCTCTCGCTCACTTTTGGAGAAAGAGCCCGTAGCTCGTGTGGGTCTGTGGGTATAACTGGTGCCTTGCTGGGCTGGGTTAGCACAGCACAGCCGGTTTATGGACGCCCCTGGGGGCAGGAGGAAGGCACCTGGCTTGAACTGAAAGTGCCAAAAGTGCACAAAAGGCACAGGCCAGTGTGTCCCAGTTTGGCCAGTAACAGCTCTGAGAGCAGCTCATCCATTCAAGCAGGGGAAAAAGCCCTCCCCGAGGTCAGGGGCTGACGGTCCCAGGGCTGGGCTTGAGCCGAGGGGTCCTGGCTGATCGGCGAGGCAGCCGTCCCCACTCGTGTCCTCCTCACTGTAGAAAATGGGCAGCTCAAGGGACCCTCACTGCTGGAAAAGGCTCTGGGTGCTGGGGGTCCCGTGGGACAGGACTCCCTGCGCCCCCAGCTCCAAGGTGCTTTGATTTTTCTCAGCAGGGCCGATCTGCTTACACACAGGGAAACCAAGGCAGCAGCCACGCTCCCTGCGGGGTGCAGGAGCCCCAATCCCCCCCATTCCTGCCCCCCAGGCTGTTTGTGTTTAACATGGGGAGCCAGGCTGCAGCCCAAAAGGTCACCCCCAGCCCTGGCATCGCCCCCAGCTTCTCCCACAGGGGAGAAGAAGAGGGGCTGCCATTCTCCAGCCGTGTTAAATATTCCACCCCCAGCTCTGGCTGGTGTCGGCAGTGGCTGCAGAGGGGTGGGAGTGGGAGGTGATGGGGGGCAGAAGAGCTGGGGAGAGGGTGGGGAACAGCGTCAGGGCTGGTGCCCAGAGGGATTTGGCACGCTCAGGGGGTATCAGGCAGATCTTTGCCCCGCCAGCCATCCCCTGCACGCTGCAGGAGAAAGTTTGTGTCACCAAACCACTCTCAGAGAATCCCTGCCCTTCTCCCCGCCAGTTATTTTCCCCTCCTGTCCCTTGTTTCAGAGCCCACAGCGGGGTTTCCCACCTCTCCTCTCCGTGGGGTTGGGGCAGCCCCAGCCCCACGCACCCTGCCATCAGCCTGGCTGGGGCTTTCCTCCCCACCCTGCCCCACTTTCATTTCATAGGTGACCGCTCCGGCGAGTGGAGGGGCTGTGGTTCGCAGCCTGCCGGGGCGGACAGAGGGGCTCGGGGTGCTGGCCATGGCCCGGGGCACAGGCAAGACCTCCCAGGGCCTTTTCGGGTGCTGTGAGAGATGTGAGGGATGGGGACGAGGCCCCATGTTAGAAATGGAGAATGGGATGCGATTCCCAAATTTTCAATCCATCCTGACAGATTTGTTAGCCATCCTGGAGGATGCCCAGAGTGTTTCCATCCCTCCCCACCCCTGTGCCGACCCTGGGGCTTCACTGAACCCCAAAAGGTGCTGCCATAGCGGCAGCGCTCAGGGCTACAGCCCCATGAGCACAGGGTGGAGTCCGGCTGATAGCATCAGTCCAGAGGGGGAAAAAGAGAAAGAAAATCTGGTTGAGCAAGAACTGTCTCCAGCTGCAGCAGGGAGCGTGGCCTCCGGCAGCTCCTCTCCAGCTGGGAGGAAATTTCCAGCCCTGCACTGAGAGGAGTGGGGATGCTGCACACCATCTCCTCCAGCCCCTCTCTTGAAACCTTGGCAAGCTGCATTTGCAAACCCTACAAGCTGGCTCGGCAAACCCTGGTGCAATGGGGCAGCATCAGTTTGGGACACTCGTTCAACCATCTCCCGCTTGCTGGGAGGTGAAGGCAAGGAGACAACAGCCTGGCCAGCGTCACGAGCCGGAGATGCTGGTGGTGCTCACGGGCAGCTTTGCTCCGGGCTCTGGCTGCTGGCCTGGCAGCGGTGTGGGCTTTCCAGCACGTGGGAAATTTGGAAGCTTCAAAACATGCTTTGTTTTGGGGGGATTTGAACAAAAATGGGTTAGTTGGTGACACTCACCGACTGCTTCTGGAGGTGGTATGTCACCAGATCTCCGTTGGCTGCTTCCATTCTAGACAAAAACTTTTAAATCTTTTCTTATTTTCATATTTGCGTCTTTCTGTGCTCCACTGGCAGAAAGCAACTGCTGCCAGGCTGGGCACCGTCATTAGTTATGTTTTCAAGAAATCGCTATGGGCAGCTGCCAAACAGCATGGCTTGGGGTGGCTTATCATCTTTTCTAGATCAAAGCACATTCTGTTTGCTCTGCAATGTTTGAAACAGTCCTTTTTTTTAAAAAAAAAAAAAAGGTCCCTGTGTGTCAAGAAAGAAGAGAAACAAACGTGGAAAAATCCTCAATTTGTGCCTGTTTCTAAATGAATCTTTAGGGTTTACATTTGGGAATATTCCCCTGTCCCTCTGCCAACCCCAAACCGTGCCTGGATGCTGTGGCTGCAGAGAGGTGGTGATGGCAGGGCACTGTCCCCGGGGGGGTGGGTGGCACCATGGGGATGTTGTGGGTCAGGGCTGGAGGTTGTTCATCCTTCTCCTTGTCCCCCGTCCCCGGCCAGGTGCTGTCTCACAACCTGTACACGGTGCTGTGCATCCCCCACGATCCCGTGGCGCTGGAAGAGCATTTCCGCGATGACGACGACGGGCCGGTGTCCAGCCAGGGTTACATGCCGTACCTCAACAAGTACATCCTGGATAAGGTGAGCCCCTTGGCCATCCCCCCGGCCTGCTGCGTCTCGCGTGGGGACACCGTGGCGCCCGGTCTGCTCCCACATCCCGTGGGAGCCCCACAGCTCCACTCGCTTCTGCTCCCGGAGATCCCACGCCTTGATGGGTGGAAAAGGGATACAGAGAGGTGGGGAGCGCCCAGGTGAATGCCAAAATGAGTGAGAAATGTTTAATATTCAATGTCTTCTTGGCAAGGACGAAGTGAGCCCTTTCCATCAAGGCTCTGGATGGAGGTGCAGCTCCGCCCACATTTCCTAAAGGGCTCAGAGAGAGAAATCTGCCCCTTTTTCTCTCCGCTCCTGTTCAAATTGGAGGTGTGACCTCACTTGGCAAAGAGGAGAGGGAGGAGGATGAGGTACTGGGGCAGGAGCAGAGGTTGAGGCGGGCAGGGGCCTTCTCCCTTTTTTCCACGTGGCTCAAAGGCACCTTTGTTTGGCGCGCTGAGACTTTGCGGCTGGGTGCTCGTTTCCTCCAGGCATGCGAGGAGAGGAAAAATGACTGACAACTTTCTTCCACTGTGTGATCGAAAGAAGTGGGGGCCCGGAGCTGGGTGCAGTAACCCTTCCCTCCCCTGCCGCTTGCCCAGCACCGAGCCGTGCCTCTCCCCAGCGTGCAGCGCTCCGTGCCGGTCTTTGCCTTGCCCTGAGCTGGTCAGGAGCTGCCCAGCCTGGTTCAGGGATGCTGATCTCAGCTGTGGGGCAAAACCTTCCCCAGATCCTTCTGCCCGGGGCAGGCAGCGGCTCAAGCTCAGCCCAAACCCAATCTCCCTGTCACACAACAGCCAAAATCCTTCCACTTTCCCATGTGGTTCTTTGGAAGATGACTTTTAAACCCCCTTCTTCTGATTTTGCCGTGGCTAATAAAATCCCACAGGCATTCTGAAAAGGGAAGTGGGTTTTCCTAGTAAGAGGGACTTTCAGCTTTCCGCCACCCGAAGGTTTTTCTCCAGCTCTGCCGCTGTCGGCTGCAGTTTGCCCTCGTGCCAGCAGCACGTGGCTCATGCAGCTGGGATGGAGCAGCCAGATGTGGCCAGGCTCCTTGGTCCCTGTCGCAGTTCACCGATGCCGCACCAAAATTGCCACGTGAAGCAGGTCGTGATCCAAGCGAGCGGTTGCAGGAGCTCGTGGGCAAGCAGCGGGGCTGAGGTTGATGGAGGTGCCATTCCTGCCTCCACTGCTGCCTGCCCGAGGGCCACCACTTCCCTTCGCCGAGCCCCGGTTCCTCTTTCTGGTCGAATGGGATAACGAGAATGACCCAAGCCCACTGGGGAGGTGGGCTTGGGAGAGCACCACGCAATGCTGCATGTGCTTCACCACGGGGTTCCTGCTGGTGCTCCAAGGCCTGGCAGGACACGGCTGGGCCACTGTTGGCCGTGTCGTGGTGACCAGGTGCTGCAGCGGCCCCATAGCATCTTCTCCACCAGCTGGGACACCTTATTGCCCACGCAGGGGGCCTGTCCTGGGGACACATACTCTTGCACCATGGGTCAGTGCCCACTGACACTCTAGTTGTGGGTCCCACATACCAATCACTTTGTGCTTCTCACTGTCAGGGACGGGAGATTTCAGGTGTGAGGGTTTCTTCCCTCCAGTGCTTCCCCCCCCCGAACTCCCCTCCATAGCCCTGCAGCACCACGCTCACCCCTGGCTCCTGCCCACAGGTGGAAGAAGGCGCTTTTGTCAAAGAAAACTTTGATGAGCTCTGCTGGACCCTGACAGCGAAGAAGAATTACAAGCCTGACCGGAACGGGAATAGCATTGTATCCCACCAAGATGCCTTCAAGCTCTGGTGTCTCTTCAACTTTCTGTCCGAAGACAAATACCCTCTTGTCATGGTGCCAGATGAGGTAGGACCTGTCTCTCCCCCAACGCGCATCCCCGTCCTCCCAGGGCTCTGCGTGCTGGCAGAGCTCCCTTTGGGGATGACACATCCCGCTATCGCTTCCTCGCATGTCCCACCACATCCTGCAAGATGGGGTGCTCCAGGGTGTGCGAGGGAGCAGACCAGGGGTGGAAGGAGGGGGCTTCCTGCCCTGGGCACCCCCCGCTATACCCACAGCCACCCCTACTGCCCAGGGAGAGGGGGGTGACCTGGGAGCAGCTGGGAGGACACCTCCGAAATGCTGAAGCCTGTCAAGTGTAGATGTCTTGGAGGATGGCGCGTGGGCTGGTCCATGGTGGTCTCCCGTGGTCCGAGCCTGTGCCAATGAGCTCTTTTGCCTGCTGTGAAGTGAATGTGCCAGTTCTCAGAGGCCCAGCCAAGGAGCATCCACAGCTCGGCTCCTCCTGGGGCTGGTCCCTTGCCCAAAGGCCTTCCATCTCACGCAAGGGTTGACTTGGGCACGGTGTTGGGGGACTCATCCTGATTTTCACGCGGGGAGAAAGAGAAGATGGCAAGAAGCCCTGAAAGTCTGGTGCAATGGGAGGTTTCTCCCTGTGAAATTGCTGTCAGGCTGGACGGGGCCGTGTCCCTCGGGCTGCTCTCAGCCAGTGACACAACAAAGGCAGTGGCAGAGCAGACCCCCTTGTCCTTCATCGCGCCTGACACCAGACGCTCAACCCCTACCCTGTGTCCGGAGAATTAAGAGTGAGGTTGCCCCGGCTGCCCTGCAAAGCTGCTGGCAGTAATCTCCAAATCTCCAAATTCCATCCAGCATTTGGAGGGGGAGGTTCTCCCTTTTCTGAGGGTCAGATCAAACCCCCATGAGAAGGTGGGCAGATCTGGGCAGGAGGAACAAGCTTAGAAGCCAAGAGCGGCCTCGCCAGGAGGAGCTCAGCTGGGCAAGCAGCTGCCTTCTGCTTCTACACCATCAACCTCCTTAGATCAGCAGAAAAGCCCCCCTCAAAGAAAAAAATAAAAGAGCAAAAAAAAGACAAGAAGCGCAGTGCTGTGCAGATGTAGAGGGTGACCGCACTTCCTGCTCCCCGGGAGAGGTGTTTCCTGTTCCCCAGACTGTGACAAACTGAATCATCTTTCTGCTTACAGGGCTGAGCTTGGGAAAAAAAAAAAAAAAAAAAGAAAGAAAAAAATAAACTACATTAAATTCTTGCCCTTCTCCTAGTTACGTGATGTAAAAAAATCCAGCTGGGTGCAGGGACTCTGCTGTGTTTCACCTTTCTGTGTGGCTCTTTGCAGTCACCCACCCTCCTTGGTCCCTAGATCGTGGGTAGAGGAGAGCTGTCATCAAAACTTGAGCTGAAATAAGTCTTCCCAACATCATGATTTTAGCTCTCTTTTAAAGCAATTTATCTACAGTTTCAAAACAACGTTCATCTTCTCCATCGGGCCCTCTTCCCCTACTCCTCCCCAGAGTTTTTATGACTTCAGCTGGAAACCAGCGCGGTGCTGAGGTTGGGGCTGTGGTCTGAGCCACCTGCCTTGCCAGCTGGGCGTGGGGGACAGTAGCCTTGGTCTGTGCTCCCTCAGGCATTTGATTTGTGCAGACTTTTCTCACTCTGCAGACAAACAAGCCAAAAACATCTCAGCCTTGTGGTCAAAAGGAAAAACTTCCCAGTAGCGGCCAAGCTCTAACTCAGCATCAACCTCCTGAGCCTGCCTGCTGCCTGGAACACCTTGGCCGTGACCATCAACCATCACAAGGGGTGATACCTCTGGGATAAGGGCCTTGCACCTCCAGGCTGGAGGGAGATGTGCTCTTGGGCTCTCCAAAGTGGGTCAGTGGGGCGGGAACAGCCCTCACTTTTCCCCGTCGCCGAGTTTCCCATCCCCACAGGTGGAGTACCTGCTGAAGAAGATCTGCACGGCCATGAACGTGGAGCTGAACTCCTGCGAGCTGGATGACTACCTGTCCCAGGAGCAGCAGGGGCAGGGGGGGCTGACGGTCTGGCAGTTCCTGGACATGGTGAACTCGGGGCGGTTCCTGCGAGGCATCGAGCCGGAGGCCGTCAGCATGGCCGTGGAGGAGGTGTACCAGGAGGTCATTGAGGATGTGCTCAAACAGGCAAGGAGCCCACACGTCCTGGGGCACAAACCCCGTCCTGCCCCTCACCCTGTTATTGATCCCCGTGTCTCTCGGGCACAGGGCTACCTCTGGAAGAAGGGCCAGCTGCGGAGGAACTGGTCAGAGCGGTGGTTCACACTGAAGCCCAGTGTCCTGTCCTACTACATGAGCGAGGAACGGAAGGAGAAGAAGGGGAGCATCACGTTGGACAAGCACTGCTGCGTGGAGGTACGGCCCGGGCCATGCTCACCGTGGGGACAGGAGACCCGGGAGATCCCCTTCAGACCCCAGGAAGGGGAACCCAAGAATACACAATTTCACAGCCACAAGCATGGGAGAGCCCGTCCTATGGCTGAAGAAAGTGGGGATAAGATGGGGTACGGGGCGGGTAACGCCATCCTGTGTCCTCTCCTTGCAGGTGCTGCCCGACCGGGATGGGAAGAGGTGCATGTTCTGCGTGAAGACCTCCTCCCGCACTTACGAGATGAGCGCCTCCGACACCCGGCAGCGCCAGGAGTGGACATTAGGTCCGTGCCCACCCTGCGCCCCCTCCTCAGCATCCCCCCTGCCCCCCCGCCATGTCCCCACTGACTGTCCCCTTCCCTCCCCAGCCATCCAGACGGCCATCCGGCTGCAGGCTGAGGGCAAGAAGTCCCTGCACAAAGACCTGAAGCAGAAGCGACGGGAGCAGCGGGAGCAACGGGAGCAGCGCAAGGCGGCCAAGGAGGAGGAGACGCAGCGGCTCAAGCAGCTCCAGGAGGAGAAGGAGAGGAAGCTGCAGGAGCTGGAGCTGCTCAAGGAGGCCCAGAGGCAGGCGGAGATACTCCTGCAAGAGGAAGAGCAGCGGCGGAGGCAGCAGCACGAGGAGATGCAGAGGACTCTGGAGATCCAGCTGCAGGAGGCTGAGCAGGTGGGTGTGTCCTCATGGTGCCACAGGGCTGCGTGGCTCATGGGGTGGGTGCTGCCTTCCCCCTTCCCTTGCTCGTGGCAGCTCAGGGGTTTGGAGGAGCTTTTAGGAGCACATCCTGCTCTGGAAACAATGCTGCTGCCACCCGTCACCTCTGGGCTCCCGGGGGCTGTGAGTGACCCGGGGATGAGGGATGGAGGGCTCAGCAACACCGTGTGTGGGATTCCCGAGGGGCAGGAGATGAGGACAACCTGCCCCGGGGCGTATGAAGGTGGGGGGCAGGCGAGAGGCTAGTGCTAGTGCTGGGGTGGCCAGCGAGCCCATTTCTGACCTTGCAGCCAGTGCTGGCTCCAAATGACGCGGTGCATCTCCTGAGCAGGGAAACAGCCTCGCTTCGGAGCTCTCTCCACGGGCTCTCCCGGGCGTGGGAGATGTCTGGCCTCACCCACCCAGGGATATGGGGACAAGGGGTTCCTGGGGGCGGCGGCAGCGGCTCCGCCAGCCGCCCGCGCTGATGGCTCCTCTCCCTGCCGCAGGCTCGCGCCTCCATGCAGGCGGAGATGGTCTTGAAGGAGGCAGAGGCAGAGCGTCAGCGCAAGCGCATCCTGGAGCTGGAGGACATGCAGGAGCGTCTCCAGGAGGCCCTGCAGCAGGAGGTGAAGGCGCGGCAGGACGAGGAGTCCGTGAGATACGCGCAGGCCAGGTAGGACCAGGGCATCCCTGCTCCTCCTCGACCAGCCCCACGCCCAGGGCAGCGGCTGCGTGTGGGGGCACACTCCACAGGGCGATGCAATGCTCTCCAGGGTGCTGGGATGTGCTGGTGACCTCCCAGCATGCCAGCAGGGATGGGGAGAGCTGGTAGATGAAGTGGCAGAGGGACGTCCTCAGCTCTTGCTCATTGTTGACAGGCTACTGGCTGAGGAAGAGGAGAAGCTGAAGCAGCTGATGAAGCTGAAGGAGGAACAAGAGGAATATATCATCAAAACTCAGCGGGAGAAGCAAGTCCTCAAGCAGGAGATGGAGAACAAGAACAAGTGTCTGGAGGAGGCGCAGAAGCAGCTGGAAGAAGTGAGAGTGAACAGGCAGCGGGTGGACCAGGACGTCATGGTGAGCATCGTGACCGTGCCACATCCTTTCACGCTGCAAGCCCCGGGAGGCTTCCCAGCCCTCCCCGCCTCACCTTCACACTGGGGAGGACCCAGCAGCTTTGGGGACCAAACTGGTATTGCCTTGGGGGTTTTCTGAGCTGTGCCATGTGGCTGAGATGGGACAAGCATGTCCTGCCCTGGGGGGGCAGCAGTTGTATCCAAACCAATGTTGACATTGGGATTGTATGGAGGGGGGAGGATTGGAGAGGAGCGGAAGACCTAGAGGAGGGTGAGCTGGGTCTCCAGCCCAGAGGGAGCCTCCAGTCCAGGCTCACCAAGGGAAGGGAGGCTCCTGCCCACGGTGCCGGGTCGGGGGCTGTCGGGCAGCCGGCTCACCCCTCTCCTCCATCCCCGCCCAGGCAGCCCAGCGGAAGCTGCGACAGGCCAGCACCAACGTCAAGCACTGGAACGTCCAGATGAACCGGCTGATGCACCCCATCGAGCCCGGAGGTAGGAAACCAGCCACCACACCTTCCCCTGCCCCTCCTGAGCACGGCCACGCTGGGGCACGAGCCCAGTCTCCCACCCATCTTCCCCCTGCTTTTGGGGGCATCCAGGGGCTGGAAGGACGCCCATCTTTCAGAGAAAATACCCTGATGCCTCTGGCAACGAGAGAACTCGCAACCCTTTTCCTTAGCTGAAAGGTCAATTTGGACCCCAGGTAAACAAAGCTCTTTTTCTGTCCGTCCCCAGACAAGCGTACGAACGTGAGCGGAGGAGGCTTTGCTGGCTACAAACCCCTCCTCTCCCAGAGAGATTCCTCCCTCAAACTCAAGCAGAAAGCGGAGGATAAAGGCAGCGACCCCATGAGGGACAACAGCAAGGAAAACGTGAGCAATGGTGGCAACAGCAGCGTGTCGCCGTCTCCGGATGCAGACACCATGGCCACGGAGCCCACCAACTAGCCCAGCAGGATGGCAGAGCCCAGCGGGGAACCGCAGGGCCCAGCACGTCCCTCTGAGTGGACACAGTCAATACGGCCGTCTCTGGATGGAGACAAGCAGGGACCAGCACAGAGCCTATAGGTGACTATGTATAAGGCAGTGATGCTCCCATTTTCTTCAGGGAAGGGCTGTGGCCACGACGTGCCAGGAGGCTCAGACAGCTCAACGCTGGGGAGGAGGAAGCGGGGCCATCTCCTCCGGGCTGCCCAGGTGTGGGACCTGGACTCAACTCACCAGATTCTAGTTTCTACCCTGCCAAAAAAAAAAAAAAAAAAGTCACCAGTGGGTCTGGACTGCCTGGCCCAGGGCTGCAGTCTCCCCTTGGTTTCTACCAGCAACCCTTCCGCATCGCCCGCTGCGCTCCTGGGTGCGTGGCCCTGCATCAGCAGCTGCCAGGGAAGCCTTGGCAGACTGAGCAGTGCCCAGAGAAGGGCCGGGTTGTCCTTAACTAACACGTGCATTCCCTGAAGGTGGTTGTTAGTCAGTGGAGTCACATCGATGTTAGCAGAAACCAACAAGCAATAAAGCTTCGGGAGCCGCTGGCCCGCAGACCTTCCCGGCACGTCTGTGGCCCCGCAGGCACCAGCCCTCCCTCCTCGGCAGCGTGGCGTTTTGATTCCCACTGTAGAAAAGAGCCCGTCAAAAGAAATCAGGCTCCACCAGTGGATTTTGGGTTGGTCTGTGGAGGGCCAAGAGGGACACAGATGCTGGTGAACTGGCCATAGATAATGAACTCCTCTCTGGGTGGCAGGGCTGGCACAGGGGTAACATCGGGGAGGGCCAACACCTCTGTATGATTAACTAAGTGCTTGTATAAGAAGGTAACGGTGTTCTGGCCTTTGTTTAGGTCTTTGCCCTTGGACTGCAGCACTCCCTGTTTCAGGAGTCCTGGCTCAGGATCAGGTCCAAGGCCCACAGAAGGCAACAGCAAGGAGTCCCAGGGGCCATCCAAACTGGGATGCCTCTTCAATAACACTGCCCTGGCCTGTCTCCTCCAGCTAATTCGGTCCACGAAAAACTGAGAACAAAAGCCAAGTCTGTGGGCAAATCTCCCTGCACAAAAAACCCCACAACCCATACCAACATCAGGGTTAGCTTAAATACAGTCCCATTCACCTCTGACTTTGGGATCTTTATTGTAGGGGACACAGAGCCCCCAGTCACCTAAGGGTCCACCTCTGGAAAGAGGCACAGGGAGCAAGCCCTGCACCAAACCCCTGTTCACAGTTGCTCCTGCTGATTAACTGCAGTTCGTTAGGGAGATTACAATCTGTTTCCTACTCATGTGGCTTTCAACACTTGCTCACACAGCTCTTCCCCCCCCCCCCCCCCGCCCCCCTCCCAGTTTTTACAGCGTTTCTTTTTTACATTTTTCATTGTGCCCGACTGCAAGAGAGGCCGTTTCTGCGGGTGCCAGTGGAGCGGTGTGACTGCCCCGGGACAAAGTGGCTCTGTGTGCCCGTGAGGGTGACCGGGTGGCCCTGTGCCCTGGTCCCACGCAGCCTCGCTGACGCACAGGGAGGGCACAGGCGGCTGCAGCCCTCGCAGTGATGCCCGTGGTGGCCCAGGCCCTGCAGGTCAAATTCATCACCTCTCCTCCTCCACCCCACTGCACTGGGGCGCAGCAGCGTGGCCCCTATAGCCCCATGCAGATCTGGGGTCGCTGCCTGGCCCTGTGCCATCCCAGCTGGTCCACAGGATCCCCCCAGTCTGCGCAGGTTTTCTGGTGGAATGAGACCTTCACGGCACAGTGCACCGGAGGCCGCGGCTCCGTCTTGTATCGAGAGCGTGGGGGCCGCGGTACAAATGGCTGGAGCCTCCCGGGGTGACCTTGGCAAAGCTGCTCATCACTCCATGTGATCCGCCAGCAGAGCAAGAACAGGGAGGGTGCTCAACATCAGTCTCCACTGGGAAGGAAATGGGCTGGGTGGAAACGCACTGATGGGGGATGGCATCCTCCCTCGTCAGCTTCGTTAGCTCAATCTTGTCCCTGATCAGGCGTCGGGACAGGTATGTGCCACACCACACCCAGGCAGGGAGGGAAGGGGTCACCTCCAACTGTCTGCGTGCCACAGCCTCCTCACACGGGCTCACCCCACGCGCAGCCCCCAGGAGACGTGGGGCCACATCCTTGCCCGTGGCAGTGGCATCGCTTTCCACCGGCCACATCGTCCCTACGCAAAGCGGCTCACCAGCGCCTTGCTTTTGCTCCGGAGAGCCGAGTTTCCATCCAGCAAAAAGCTGTATGTTAATTGCTGCGGGGCAAGGACAGGCACGGAGGGAGCAGCCGGAACCAGCATCAGCACCTGCCTTTGATCCGCCTGGATCTGCCTCATCCTCCCGGAGCAGCCGACCGAGGGCTGGAGCTTCCCTAAGTCAGCAGTTGACGCGCACCGTTGGCGTGTGCCCCGGCGCCTCCGACTAAGAATAAACTCCTGCAGCAGGATCACAAGGAGAGCTCGTGGAGGTGCTGGGAAAGAGCAGCTCTGCCGCTCCCATCCCACCCCCGCGGGGTCTGTGCACCCAGGGGGGCTCTCTGGGTGTGTGGGGGGGCAAACGTTTGCAGAGTCGGATACAAACCTTGCTGCTCCCTGCGTGAATCTTTCACAGCCCCAAACCCACGGCTCTGCCCAAACTCCGCTCTCCTGGTGCTCTGTCCTGCGGTCCCGTGTTCTCAGGAAGGTCAGGCCGAATTGTGGCTGCACCTGCATTAGCGAGGGGCATCACCTGTGAGCTCTGTGCCACTCCTTGAGTAACTGTAGTAGCAACGGGGCTCCTGCTGTTTGAAGAAAACTTCACTTACCAGATTAGCCACCGCTGCGGTTTACCTAGGGTGTGAAGGTATAAAATTAGCTCCAGCCCAGACCTCAAGTAACAAGCATCAGGACCTTGCAGCACCCGCGCCAGGCAGCTGGTCTAGCCCTGGGGGGTGGAAAGCAGCGAGGGGCTCGGATTGGGAAGGCGAGGGGAGCCCCAGAGCTCCCGCGGGCACCTCAAGCGGTGTGTCACGATGGTCCCACAGCATCTAACGGGGCATCCGGCCTCGCAGAGCAGGTGCCAGCGGCTCTTCAGCCCTCAGGTCCCAGTTGATGTTGCCTGAGACAAATCCCTACTCCCTCCCTGTTCCAGCACAGCGCGGGCTGGGCGCATGCTGGTTACCTACCACCGGGCCTCCTGCCCAGCGAAACCTCCAAACGCGCCGGGCCGTGACACGGCGCTCAGCGCCGGCTCCCAGACACGTCCCCACCGACAGCCGCGAACCGGCCCGGCCCGGGAGGGTTTAGCGGGGAGATTCCCGCGGAGGCAGCCGTCCCCCTGCCCTCACGTTTCCAGGCAGGATACAAGACACCCCCGCCTGCAGAGCACGGCCCCCCCTCTCCCTCCACGGCGGCGAGGGACCAGGGAGAAGGCTTGGGGCAGCCCGCAAGCGCCGGGATAGGGCGGCCGTGGGGCCGAGGGGGAGCTGGACCTGCCCTGGCCCGCCGCCATTTTGCGCCTCCACCCTCCGTCCCCGCCTTCCCTACCCAGCATGCCCCGCGAGCGGCGCCTACATTTCCCATAAGGACCCGCGCCCGCGGGGAGAGGGTGGGAGGAGGGGGAGGAAGTTTTAGTCAGCGCCCACCAGGGGGCGCACGCGACGCGACGCGGGGCGGGGCGGGGCGGGCTTGGGCCGTTGCCGTGGTGATGCGGTAACGACTTCCCGGCGGCGGCGATTGGCTGCGGGGTGTTGGGTATGCGGTGGCGTCAGGGCGGGCGCGGTGACGTGCGGGGGGTGGGGGGCAGCGGGGCGCCGGCGGTGGCGGTGGCGGGAGCGGGGCCGTTGCGGGAGGTGAGCGGGGTAAGGCCTGGGGGGGGGGGGGGGGGGGGGGGGGCGGGACACGGGGGGGACCGGGGGCACGGCGTGGGGAGCTGGGGGGTGTGGGGCAGCGGGGATGGGGGGGACACGGGGGACAGGGACACGGGGTGTGGGGGACAGGGACACGGGGGACAGGGACACGGGGTGTGGGGGGGACAGGGACATAGGGACACGGGGTGTGCGGCAGCAGGGATGGGATGTGTGGGGGACAGGGACACGGGGTGTGGGGGACAGGGACACGGGGGACAGGGACACGGGGTGTGGGGGACAGGGACATAGGGACACGGGGTGTGTGGGGGACAGGGACACGGGGTGTGGGGGACAGGGACACGGGGGACAGGGACACGGGGTGTGTGGGGGACAGGGACACGGGGTGTGGGGGACAGGGACACGGGAGGTATGGGGGCCAGGAGGCGGGGTACAGGGTGGAGGGACAGGCTGTGCTGGGGGATGAGGGATGAGGCCGGGGACAGGGGCCCTCTGTGGGTGTAGGTTTGAGGAGATGGGGTGCTTGGGGGCTTTCTGAGGGGGTGGAAGGGGCTGGCAGCACTGGTGGCATCGGTCAGAGCTTGGAGGAGGCGGGGAGGGACTTTGGGGGGACACAGTGATTTGGAGGGGGCTGGGAGGGCAGGGGCACGTTGGTGGCTGTAGGGTGCGGGTTCTCGTTCCTGCTCGGGAAATTGGTGAAGGTAGAACGGAGGATGGGACATGGCCCAAACGGGGGGATGAGGCTCGGGGGGGACAGTCTGCCTTTCTCCTCTCCAGGGATGGGGTGGCAGAGGGACAATTGGCCTTTGGTTTTAGGGTACCGGTGAGGGGCACTGCTGGGGTCTGGGGCTGGAAGGAGGAGAAGCAAGAGGGTCAGGATGGTCCATCAGTGGTGCATCAGATGCGGAGTTGCTTGAGGAGAAAGAATCTGAGAATCCTTTTCTTATCCCCTGTATCTCCACACTCTGCTCCTGCTTTCTCTGAGATCCCAGATAAAAGATGTTTACTTTTTGTGCTGTGCTTTTTCCACCTATAAAGTAGGGGTAGACATCTGTATTAAATAGTGGCTCTAAAGCGCTTCAGAGTGCTGCACAAGCTCACTTGTCCCACGCTGTGAACTCTTGTAGCCAAACACAGGAAGGTGGTACCTGCATGCTGGCTGGGTTGAGTGTAACTCTTAATTAGCTTTAAAAGCGCTTGTAAAAAACCCTAGGTGAAAGGTAAAAGAGCATGGAGAAGTAGGTGGCAAGATCTTGAAGCAAGAGACCTAATTTTCTTTCACCTCCTGCTTCCCTCCTTTGTTTTGTTCTACTGACCTGTTGCATTTTTTCCTTCCTCGTTGGCTAGCTCCGAGCTCTGTTATTATAACCAGCTAGGATCCTGTTGTTACATTGAACTGTTCCTCCCTAGATGAGTTTTGACCTCCCCTTTTTTGTGTGGTCAAAAGGCCTCCTGGCCTTGCTATACTTCCAAAAGTTTGTGTGCTCTGACTCCACCTCAAGTGATGTTTAACAGCCTTATTTGTTTATGATCAGAGAGCCTCCAACCTATTTACATAAGCCGGTGAATTAAGGTGCAGAACCTATTTATGAGGTAGGTGTGTTTTAGTGTCCCTGGATGGAAAATCAAGGCACAGAGAGGAAAAGCAGCTGAAGATGCAGCTTGTCAGTGGAGAAGGAGAGAATACGTGCTCTCTGTGACAATCCCATCTATGAATTTCCCACAGCATCTGTCTGTCATCGACTGTATTATATCTGCATGGCTTCAAACAGCGTCCTGGTGTGAATTATCTCAGCCTTGGCCACCTTCCCCTTCGACAGCTGTGCTGGGGGGCCTCTTGGACATGAGTGACGATCGTGCTTGCGGGAAGGAATCTGCCTGTTGAGCCCCCACGTGTTGGGAAAGCCCCTGTGAGCAGGCGGTGGATGGGCAGAGGGGCGAGCAGGCTTTGGGTGTGCCATGGGGTCCAGGCAACATCCATCGTGGTGGTGCAGAGGGATCTGAGCGTGGAAAGGATGCAGCAGTGGCCACCCCATAAATCGGGAGGCCTAAGGCTGGTGGTAGCGTTGTTGATCTCTTGAACTGGTGACCTGTTGGTTGAAGCAGCCCACGTCTGATTTCCCGTTTCTGCTCCGCCCGGCCCTCCTCCTGCCATCTCTCTATGTGCAAACTCCCTTGCTGCCTTCATCCCTTTCCTCTTCTGGTACAAACATGCCCCAGGCTGTGCTGAGGTGGGAGTTTTCTCTGTGACTTATCGTGTGTCAGCCAGGGATACAAGAGGCAGCTTTCAGGAGGGATGTGCTGGCAGGTTCCCTCTGTGCCCTGGTGAGCTGGTGCAAGTATTGCCTTGTGTGTGATGGTGATGGGGCATGCCCTGGCATTTAGCTGTGAGCAGGACAAGGTGAGCCAGTAATTTAGTTTTAATTCTCAGATCTCTGGCGGCAGCAGCAAAGCGCTCTGCTCTGCGGTGGGAGAGAGCTCAGGGTGTGATTCATGCCCTCCTTGACAGTGTCAACGTTACATTTTATTACTGAATCAGGGACGGGTTTTATTGCTGGTGGAGATGAAGAAAGCCCGCTCCTGATGTGCCCAGTGGGGTTGTAATGACTTTATTATTGTTCCTCATCAGGAAGGTTCAAGAAAAACTTTGTCTGGGGTGTTTAGAAAAACTACCTTCCATTTTGGGAGGGGGGTGGGATGAGAAACTTGCTGTAGCTTTAACGACCTGCTGTGAAAGTGAAGTTACTGTGTGCGGTTTTATGGCCCCCACTAAAGCAGAGGGCTGGGTGTTGGATCTGTGCTCCTTCCCTCGTCCGCTGACCTTCGGGCAGGCTTGTCTCGGCTCGTCTCTCAGCCCTCCTGCCTCTAAACTGAGGGCAATCTCTTCCTTCAAGAGAGGCTGTGATTTTTATATCGCTGACTGGAAGAGAGAGTGATCCTGATGAGAATGATGCTCCAATGCAAGGGACTGGGGTTATTTTTTTTGGTTCTCACACTCACGCCCTCCCCTGGATGTACCTGGGCTGCTCGGCAGCGTGGGAAACACCCTCCACGCTCATGCTGGTGCTCCGGGAGCCTCGGCTTTTGGGGCAGGGGATTTGCTTTCTTTTCTCACCCACTTCTGAGCAGCTGCAGCTCCCAAAGTGCCGTGTCAGACCCAGGAGGTGCGGGAGGGTGTGCGGGACCGGGTGGGATTCACTCTCTGCCCAGAGCTCGCCTGCCGAGCTGCCCCCTCGGCCGGGGGCTGGCGGTGCCGGGGTCGTTGCCGGCGCTCGGCTGCCCTGCAAGTCATCCCGTGTTGGAGGCAGCAACACGAAACGGGGCTTTTCCACTGGGGTGGGAGGAGCAGCTAAGCCTGGGTAATGTCAGGGAGGGTACATGGGTTCAAGTAGCATCATGTTCACAACATCTTTGTTTAATATGTTAGTCCAGTTAGTCTGCATAACTGTGTCTAAATATAGAACATATTTTCTCTAAGTCCTCTAGTTCAAAGCCTCATAAGCCATTTTATTTCCAGCGTTGGTCTCTTACTGCTCTCCTGAGCCTGAAATTCATACAAGGCTATTTGCAAAGCTATCAGGAAAACCAAGAAGAGTGAATGAACTCTGTCAAATCCTTAGGTTTCAAGTGCCCAAGAAAGAAACTCATTAAAGTTGCAGTAACTTTCTAGCAGCCTCTTAAAGGTGGATTAAATAAACCGGGTAAACAAGTCACCTTGTAGCCACCATAGGCCTTTTTTTAGCATCAACTTCATGCATTGTCATAAAAGCTCAGGGTCATCAGCCCCTGGCTTCGGGTGACCTGAGGCAAAGGTGACATCCTGATGCTCAAAGCCTGGTGAGGGGTCGGGGCTCTCTCTGTTGGGACCCCCGGGGTTTTGCTCCACCTCCCGGTTTGCAGAAGCTGCCAGAGCCCCCGGGGGGGGGGAGACGGCTGCGATCAGATTCAGGAGCTGCCCCCCCGGCTCCCCCCGGCGCGAGGGGAGTCACCCCAGCCGATGGTTTCAGCGTGCGGTAGAGGGAGTGTGTGTTTAAATTTCAGAGCTGTCGCTGGATCCAGCCCAGTTCTCCCAGCAGCATAAATATCTGGCCTTCAGCACAGCCATGGAAATTCGCGTTGTGTTCTCTTGCAGATTACTCCAGTTTTCAGCTCTCCGTGCTGACATGGTAACTGAACGGTGGCTTTCAGTGACAGGCAGACGGGGACATCTGCTCTGGAGAGGTAACCCTTCCTTTTTGCACGCGGACGATCTACCAAAGCACTTATCCTGCGTATGTTTTTAGAAACTTGGGATAGGGAAGAGCCTAGGAAGTGTGGCTTGCTTTCAGCAAGTTTCACTTTTGTCCACAATCCTAAACTTTCTCAATTTTTTTTTTTTTAATTTAAAATCTCTGCCTTCTTTTTGTTCAGTTTCTGACTATGATCTTTATGGGTTATTCTTAGGAGTATGCTGTGAGTATCATGGTCTAATCATGTTCTGCCCAGCTGACGGTTGCAGTCAAAGTATAGCAACTTAATATTTCATTATTTCACTGATTTTTACAACTGAAATTTGCTCTTGTAGATTGAGGAGGACATGTGAGATCAAGGACTGTACTTGGGTAAATAATCACCCAGCGATCCGGACACACGATCTGGCAGCAGTACTGACACCGCCTGTCGCTGTGTAACTGCCTTCCTGGGACAAAGCCGAGCGGGTTACAGCCGAGCTGGGGCAGGGGGCTTGAGGAATTGGTCAACGCGGGCTCGGGCGGACGTCAGCCTGCCCTCAGACCTCTGAAAAGGTGCCCAAAAGTCTTCACTGCTGCACGTCGCTTCTGATGGCCCGGTGGCTGTTTGCACGTAGGGGCTGGATTTATTTTTGCCGCGACACACGTCTAAGGTGTTTAGCTGGACAGAGATGTGGTTTTCTGTGTCTAGTTTGTGCAACTGCTGTGCTGTCTCTGTCCTGGCATTCGAGACATGGGCTTCCAAGGATCTTTGCAGCGTGCAGAGAGGATTTTGTAATGAGCCACATGAGGCTGTGCTGATCAGAAGAGCATTGTTGTACAGAATTGCATACTGATGTTCATGGGCTCCGTCTCTCTAGCGTGTTGCCTGTTGACAAATATGTATTTTTGTACAGTACATTTTGTTGCCTTTCGAGGAGTATTTAGTCTGTGGCTATTGAATTATGAGCTGTGAATCTGCAAATGTTCTTAGAGACTGAGGAATTAGCACAAGACACTCTTGGGCTCCTTCATGTAACGGGACCTGAAATGCAAATTATTTTTTAATTGCCTGAGATGATGTTACAGTGCTTATTCCTGAAAGGTTATTTGCTGCCGGAACCCAGCCTGGCTTGCTCTGCCTATGAAATTTCAGAGATTTTGGTTTATTTTGTGATTTGTATTGGCTCCCTTGCTTTTTAGCAGGAACAACTGCCCTTGTTGATACCCACAGATTTGTCAGGCTGTGTAGCTGCTTTCTCATCAGGCCCTGCAGAGCAATCTCTGCTTTTCTAGAAGTGTCACTATTCAGTGATACACTGCTTATCACTGCTGCAATAATTTTGGAGACTCTGGGAAAGCCTAGACAAGCAGAAGTGATTTCCATAGTGAGTACAAATGAGATTTTTCTGTAGAACTAATTTTTTTTTTTTATTATTTTATACTCTTGAAATGTTCTTGCCTTGGCAGAATGCCTAGGAAATTACTTTCCCAAAGCAGGTTTTAGAGTGGAAGGATTAATGCTAATATGAAGCCTTTTGGTCAAGGAGATTGTGAAACGCATCTTCCCCAAAATAAATGTTTTGGGGTGACGTTTACTGGAGCCTTGGTTGCAAGAAAGGTTCAGAGCAGAACTAACTTGGGTTGTACCTCAAGTTTCAGGATGACTTCTTGAAATGCTGTAATACTCACTGCTATGATCATAGCATCTGGAAAATGTCTGCGTCCTCCCAAGGCTTAGCCAAGAGCTTGTGAACATCTGAAATCATTTGAGTCAGGTCTTTCAGACTGGCTTTGCAAAGGGCTCCAACGTACGTGTATGTGTCAGGGTACTTCCCTGGGGATCCCTGGGGACAAGTTCTGCTCAAAGGTTTGGGTTTTGCAGAGGCTGTGGTTTGCAGGGGAATCCTGGCAGGGGAGGAGGTGGTAGGATGCAAGCATGAGCCAGAAATGCGAATGTTTCTCATGGTGCTGGGTCAGGCCAGAGCACATCTCTGAGGCTTGTGGATAGCAACAGCCACATAACATCCGTGCTAACCAGAATCGTTGCCCTCATGCTGCATTCTCTGGTTTGCCCTGGTCTGGGAACTGGAACTTGGAATAGCAAAAACCAGAACATGCCCGTTCAACCCTGTAATGGAGATGTGGGATGGAGACAGGGAACAGTTTGGGTGGTTTAAAAGGGCAGATGAGCTTTGCTACCTGAGCTGATAGGGAAGCGTTTATTTGATGGTCTGTTAAGACAGACTTTACTATCAACCATACTACTGCCTTATGAACGTCTCATTGGGAAAGGCTTTGTCAGGCTGAAGAGAGGATGGGTGAGATGGCTTCAAAATAAGCAGTGTTTTGTGCAGTCACCTCACTGATGGGAACCTAAGCCCAAATCCCTATCCTGCCTAATGTTTTACAAACATTTTTTGTAATGCAACTCTTGATTTCACCTTAATGCAAATCTAGAATATTTCTGAAAATGCCCAAATCTGCTTTTCACCTTTAAGTTGATTATATGGATTCTGCTAGAGCTGTTGGACCTTGAAGGCTGTTAACCGCCTGAGGCCTGATGGTCAGAGACCCACACCTATGAAAAAAATCCATGGGTTCTCATGTCCATGGGATAGGTATCGTGTTGTGGGACTTAGGGACACAGAGATCTCTGGAAAGGGTTCTTGGTGAGCACGAGCTTGGGGCTGGAGCTGGTGGAGCCTGCTGAGCTCCCAGCAGCAGGCTGTGTTGGGAAGTGGTAGTCGTTGGCTCGCCGTGGACCGCTGTGGCTCTCTCCGCACCCCCAAGATGATGGGAAAGATGTGAGGATGTTATGCTTGAGCAGAGCATTAGCACCTTCCATTTTATTTTCTAGGGGCTGAGGCAGAAATCCAAATGGTCAGAGCACACTGCGATCCTCTTCATTGGCAGAGGAGTCTTGGCAGATTCACGCTGACATGATTGCTGCTTGTATCACAAAACGCAGGGAAACCTCCGTTCCTCCAGTCAGCTCTTGCTGTGTGAATGTGGCCAAAAATAGTAAGGAAACATCATTCCCCTCTGGTTCCCTAAGCGGGTGTTGAACTAGTTTGTCTAACAAAGTTATTCTAATGTTCTCTGGCGTTTTCTGTATGGCGACGTATGCAGTTAAACTCAGACTTCCTCCCTTTTTCCTGCTCTGCGGTTGAAATGGAGACGCAGCGAACGTGGTGATTTGTTCGAACCGTTTCGGTGTGTGCGTTCCCAGGCCCTGCTGAATCATCTGAACTTGTGCCTGGGCATAATCGCTCACTGTCAGCTGCGTCCTGGGAACAGAGCGGCATGGCCGGTGCCCAGGATATTTTGCTAATGTCTGCAAAACCAGTAGCACTTTTCTGGGAGTCGAAGTGGAACCGTAACAAAACTTATAGGCTGGTGGATTTTTAATTATTTTTTTTTTTTCCTGGTTAGCCCATGGGATCTAAAGTCAATGTCCTGCAAAGAGGAGGCAGCTTACTACTGGTTTTGTGAGAGTTTTCCTGAATCTGGGCGCACAGGCAGCCTAGCAATAAAACTTAGTGGTCTGCTGCATATTTGGCTCCGGACAGCAGGCAGCATGCACATGTGGATAATCCAGAGCGATGCATTGCCCTGCTGCTACTTTTCTACCCCTCACTGCTTTTCTGGGGAGCTGATTGCCCCACCCAAAGCAGGGGTGACACTTGCTGGTGTCCCAGTGACACTGAGACTTTGGAGAAAACTACGATGGGTCCTGGTGTACACAGCACTGCCAGATGACGGCCTCACTCGCTGCCAGCCGCGCTCCTGTTTGTAGTGACAGCTTGTTCCCCTTGCAGCTTTCCTGGTTTTCCATTTAAACGCTGCTCCGAGTCTGTAACACCCTGTGCCTGCTGTTTGCCTTGGGAAGCGTTGTTGCTGTTCCCAGGAGCTCCTCCCTTGTCAGCCCTGTTCTATAATTACTGATGTTCCTGAAACCAGATCCTTCCACGTGTCCTGCTCAGGTTTGAGAGGACAAGGGGGTCTGTAAGCAAACTGAGTGCCTTGGAATAAAGCGCGACAAGACTTCAGGAGTTTTGGAAAGCATCAGCTTACAGTGGTTTGGTGGGTTCTCTGAGCCGCCAACCTCCTCACCTTTGGGATGGTAAAGGAAAGGGGAATATATCCCAGACAGCTTCTCTGGCACTTCCAGAGAAGAAGCAGGGCTGTGAACACTGGTGCTTGTGGAGCAGCAGTGGAAGCTGATGCAGGAGCACAAATGGGTGATGCCGGGCTGGGCTGTGGGTCCCTGCCAGGGTCCCCTGTGGACAATTAACCATCTGCAGCCCCACGCAAGCTGCTCCGTGCCTCTCTCCCAGCAGCGTGTGTGCGAGGTTGGCAGCTTTGTTCCCAAAGCATTGTCACAGCTTCACAGCAACCTCTGCTGCGCCCTGGGCTGCGGTGGGGATGAGCCTCTTTCCTTACCAGATGTAGTGATCTTCTCAAATGGCAACACTTCTATGCCGTTTCCAGCTCTACGAAGGCTCAGGTGTCACCTTTCTGGTACCTGCTTGCTCCCTGGCTGTGGTCCTCGTTCCAGTGGGTCAGAGCCACGTGCCCCTCCTGTCCCTGGGTGCTCTGGGCTGTCCTGAGTTGACAGCAAAACACAAATATTGGTCAGCAATTGCCAGGCTGAGACATTTGCTGAAAGTAATCCTGGAAATTCTTCGAATAGGAATGCACAACGGGAGAAGAAGGTCACGAGCAGCGTGGTGTGCTGACCTGGGCTGGGGAGGCCAGACTTGTGAGCATGACTGCAAACAGGTGTCAAAATCCATAATACGGGAATAAACAATGACGCTTGGCACTGATGTATCCCTCTGTGCTTCCAAAACATGCCGTCTCTGTGAGCTAATGCAGCAAGGAAAGGATCAGGAAGGAAGCACTGTAAAAGTCCCAGGCTTGGTTTTTTTTTTTTTTGGAGTGTGGTAGTGGTTTGGGTTTTTTTGATGATGAAGGAAATGGAGGTGTGGGGGTTGACAGGATTTGCTG